AAATCAGCTAACCTTTCCTCTCTTTACCTAGCCAAGAGCTTTCTAATGAATGGCCACTTGTGCTTGAAACTGTGCCAGGTACCTAAAGCAGTAATAGAAACCTGTTCTGTCAAAAGGGAAGCTGTCTACAAATATGATAAGGTTAGAAAGCAGCCGTTGCTTGGGTACCACTTGTCTTACCTTGTAAAGAATTGAAGATGGAGAAGAGGTACATGAAAGGGATATTTAAGGGTCCCCAAGCAAAGAAAGCAAAACCCCACGTCATGCCCAGCAGGAAAGTCAGGCTGACCACGCTGCGCAGGTTCCTTAAGACCTCTTCTCTCAGGGTCCGGTTGCTTCTCTTTCCGTTCCTCCCACAGATCTGTACCATGACCACAATGAACATGGCCACATTCAGGAAGAACATGACTCCAAAGTACCCAGCACAGCTCACATAAAATACCACGGGGTCCTGAATCCAGCAGCTAAAGGGAAACGGAAGGAGAACAAGATAAAAGAGTTTGGCTACCATGCCCTGTTTACGCGTGACTTTCCTTGACCTGGTTTGCACAGCTTGCAGAGTTCTTTCTGAAACACCTATGAAAAGTCTGCTCACTTCTGTGGGCTTCAGGCTTTGCTTTGATCCTTTCACAGGCAGTTTTTTATTTGGGTGGTTTTGGATGGCTGCTGTCTTGATCTTGTTATTTGAGACAACATTAAAAAGCAAAAGAGGTTGCTTGTTGAATTCTGATTGGTATGAGTGGATGCTTGTTTGCTTAGTTCTAAACCACATCTGACCCTTTCTCTTGTGTGTCCTTACTCGAACAATGGAGATTTTCAGCATTAACTTTGGCTGTCCTTTCCTGTCAAGGGGTGACCGTGTAGACACCATCCCCCCAAAATAACATGGAAGCAGAAGTCTGCTAAGAGGTTTTTGTAAGAGCCGTAGTATTAGGGCTGTCTGCTTATGTCCCTGTGAAAGAACCAGGAGAGTTCCTGAGATGTTGACTCTGGTGAGTTTTACCTGCAGCATTAATGCTAGTGGTCACCTATGTCCCTAGCTCCTTGTCATCTATGATTAGCAAATTTATACTTCTTTGTCACATTGAATGGAGGATTCAGGAAACAAAGCAATTATTATTTATATAACTGTTCTAGTTGCAGCAAGACATTATGAAGTTACAAGATCCATGTACAGAAGTTTCTTGCATACAATTATATCAGATGATAAATGGAAGAAAACTTCTAACTATTCTGTGTTGCAAAGTCTCACTAGGGTGAAGCTGAACAGCAATACAATTTTCAGATGCCCTAGTGTTTCTTTAAACTATGGAAATTCTTGAGTACCTAAAAATTCAATAATTTCACTAAATCAAATTCATCTTAAAATGAAGTGTCCTTATTTTGGCTACTGAGGTGAATGCTGTCTTAAACATCCTCGGGTCCTAGAGCTCAACATGACTTCTAACATACAATGAATGCGCACTAAATGAGATTTTGTGATGGCACAACTTGAAACAGAGCTTGAAAATCCTATGACAACTAGGGAAGATGGATTTCACAGCCATTCATTTAAACTGATTCAGTTAAAAATTTAGTGTTTCTCATAGGGGTCCCCTCAATAATGCTGCATGTCTGTAACACTAAACTTCCTTTAAGTATGGAAGTCTCCCAAAGATCCAGGAATTCTTGTTATAGGTCCAACTTGTTTGGGTTTCATAGTGTTGCTTCCGAAACACAAAAAACAAGGGAAGGCTGTGTGGAATGAAAGCTGATTAGGTATAGAAGTGTAAGCTATCCCTGAAGTTTACATGATACATCAGGGTCTCACATAATAAAAAATGTTCAGTAAGCTAACGGTAATTCTTCAAATCAGTAGACATTGATGATCCACAGTATGCCTGATGGGGTATATGACAGTCAATTGCTTGAAAAACATGATGGCCTTAATCTCAGTGACCTTAACTTGGGAAGTAACGTTTTCCCCAAGAACTCACGGACCTCCCTGTGTTCTGTAAAATGCTCATATTGGCTTTGGGTTGTTTCTGCTACTGCCGATATGTCTGGGTTGAAGGAGGAAAGAACAGTACAGAGTCTCCTCCAACTGAATGCATCTTCTAAGTCTAGCAGAGAGCATCTCAGGTGTCTGAACTCTCCAGACCACATAGTACTGTGGTATTAAAACAAAGAAAGGCAGCTCTGAGCATTGAAATGATTGATCTGCGGCAGAAGGACCTTGGACAGATCATCACAGGTGAACTAAACCCTTCGAAATCAGGGCATATTACCATGGTAACTTACACTAACCTTTACAAGACAAAGTACATATCCCATTCCAACCCCCCCTCCAAATGTGTATTACTTACAATTCATCATCCTGTTCTTTCCCATAACTTTGTTTTCCATATACTTCATTTTGTTTTCTGCTTGCTAAAATAATGGACACCACCAAAGCTGGAAGACCTGTCATAAAAAGACCATGACATTGAGAGGGTTCCTGAAGACTCTGGGATGGCCTCGCGGGACTGATACTCTTGAGTAAATGAGAGAAAGAAAAACCTCTACAGCAGAGGTTCAGTTTTCTTCGAGTGGCTAGACTGGTTGGTTCAAATTGACAGCGAAATTCCCTCCTTAACGTGGGATGTGTCACTCTAAGTGGCAATAGTTAAAACCTACTCATGAATGATAAGATACTTGAGTGTTCTTTTGGGTCTGGTGGTACTCACTGGAGGTCTAGATCCTGATCCTACAGAATGCAGCACCAGCCAGGATGGTTGTATAATCGATGCTGCATGGAGCTTCCAGAGGTCAGAAAGATAAGGAGAAGGCAGCTGCTTTTACCCTTTTTGATAGGGAACAAAGACTTTAGGAAAAGCAGGGGTAAATATCAAGTGTATGATGTCATTTCTTTTGCCCACAGACACTCGGCAATACTCCTATATCTGTTTCATGGAGCCATCCATGCCTCCTCAGTTCCTCCAGAGACCATTGGATTTTCTCATGGCGGGATGTGGAAAACTAAGGGATGACTCGGCCTTGACTATTGCCATCTGAAAAAGATACGCGCTTGGGCTTTAAGACGCTTCACTCGACACAAAACCCAGATAAAGAAAGCCATCCAACAGGAAGATTCTCAGCAGGCCTTTGGATATCTGACCAAGGATCCAGGGTAAAAAGCTAAATACTTCTGTAAATGCCTTGGTTGCGCATGTAAAAAATAACACTCTTTTTCTGGCTTCCACAACAGGGATGAGTAGATGTAGGCATTTAGCTGGCTACTATATTTGGAAGCATAATGGGTGGTCAGTTGCTTCTTTAGCCCCGGGTAGGCTGGCACTGGCCTCAGGAAATGAGTTTGCGGTGACCTGGTGACTCGGGAGCTAAGGCTTTTCTTTCATTCCTGAATTCAGTGAGTACCGGTGAGGGGTTCACAAACGAAGAGAGCTGGGGGGACCCAGGGCGTCTCCGCCTTGAGATTGTCTTGTCTGATGCGTGTTACGAATCACAGTACTTCTACGTGTCATAAAACAGCATGATGCACAGGGAAGGATGTTTGCGGGAGGCTTACCCCAGCCAATGATGCAGAACTTTAGAATGTAGCGGTGGATGTAGGTGTTGAACACTTTCACAAGAGCAATGTACATGTGGATGGCTTCCAGCCCCATCCAGGTGAACGTAGCCAGGAGGAAGTAGTGCAGCAGGGCAGCCACGGCTATGCAGAGGCCCGCCACATCAAAGGAAGTGATCCAGCCGTCCAGGAGGAAGAGGAGATTCAAGAAGAGTAGGGCCGAACTCAGGTTCATCAGGATTTTGGAGGGATAATCCCTGCGCAGCTTCCTAAGGGTGGAGAAGGAAAATGGAATCAAGGAGTAACACTGCACACCAATGTTTTAAACACAGAAGTCTGTTCCTGTTTCCCACCATTCTTGGCGGTAGGTAACTCACACACAAGATATGGCCCCACCACCGGGAGGAGAGAGGATATTTATGCATATTTGCCAGGTTCCAAAGAGTTTTTCAATGTGATTTTATTTCAAAACTGTTTCCAACATCCCCCAACTTGTTTATATGGAGTTTATATTTAAGTTTATGCTTATTTACTTGTCTATTTTTGAGACAGGGTCTTCTACTGCAGATCAGGGTGCCTTGTAGTCTACTATGTAGCCCAGACTGTCCTCTACCTTATGGAAATGCTCCTGCTTGAGACTTGAATGCTGGGATTACAGCCATGAGCCACTATGCTCACATTTTGTTTTTAATTTAGGAATTTTTCCAGTTACAAGAATTAAACATTTAATCAACTAATTTATGTGCTTGTGTGTGTGTGTGTGTGTGTGTATGTACACCTTCATGTGGATGTCAAAAAAACTCATGAAAGGGCAATAAAACCCCTGTAACTAGAGTTACAGATGGTCATAAGCTACCTGATAAAGGTGATGGGATCCAAACTCAGGTCCTTCTGCCAGAGTAGCCAGTGAAGCTACCTGCTGAACCATTCCTCTAGCCCAGGCATTTTTATTTAAAAAGTAATTTCCTTCACATTGTTTGATGTTTCTTGATTTTTAATGAGTCAGAGATCCCTTTCAAAAAATTTCTGGTTTCAAGAATGCTTGTATATAATTCATGAAGTAATATCTTTACCTTTTACAATGCAGCAAGTATTTCATGTCATTTTAATTTACGTGCATGTTAATAATCTCTAACAGACTTGAATCCACTTTACAAATGGAGATATAGTACTTATAAACTAAAATTCTATACCTGTTAAATTCATGGTGCATGATCTTATGGGAACGATGAGGATTAAAAGCAAGACAGCAAAATGACTCCTAAACTGCAGGATTGTGTTTTAAAGCTGAGGCCATTTTCTTGTTCACATTTGCAATTGTTAGCACTGGGCTTTGCAGATGGAAATATACTTACTCAAAAGCAACATATGTTAGGAGAGTTGCAGCTGAGAAAATGGCAGATATTCCACACCCAATATAGGTGATGAAAGTGAGGACCTTTGTGTTTCTTCCATCTATTTGCGAGGCACTCCTTGGAAGATCCTAACAAAACATGGGATGCAGTTGTATTATTCCTCTTCCATGACAGTGGTGCTTTATGTCATGAGAAAGTTCTCAGTTAACACTAGAGCAGTTCAATCGCAGGGCCTAGAAACAACGATGCCCACCAACACTGACAAAGCCACTTGCTGCACTCTTGTAAACAAAGCCAAGAAAGAAAAACGAAGCATTATTACGGAAGTAGGCACACACTGTTTCAAATCAGTACCTCCTCATCTAAGCCATTGGTACCCTAGTGTCAGCCAAAGATTGAAACCACAGGGTTGCCCCAACAGAAACGGTGGATGGTACAGTTGTCTTGCATGATAAGTTAACATTCACACGTGTTTCTGCAAGGATAGGGGCATGAGTATAAATGGAGGCCACTGTGTAAACATGGCCAGTCTCTAGGCTAGGTGAGAGATGCTCAGCCACGAAAAGCCTTCCCCTTCTTTGACAGCCCAGGGGTCCCTCAAAACACAAGGAAGACATGTGCCCATGGCACATGGGATGGGGTTCGAGTGAGTGCCACTGGACTCCAGTCAGGTGCCTATATGGTACACTCCCTGAAGGATGAGCTATAAAAGAGAAATTAGGAGCTCTGAAGGATCAGCAAGGATGATGAACTCTTCAAAGTACTGTTTCCATCTCAGTAACACAAATGACCAGCTACTATATAAAGTAATGATGGAATTTTACACACTGACAGAAATTCTCACAGAATTCAAATATCACCTGATGCCTTCTGAGAATGACCACATGACAATTATATCCTTCTAAGCCAGCCAACATGAAGCTAGAAGAATGTAAAATAATTGGAAAGTCACCTTTATTACAGAGAAATGTAGGAAAGGATATTAAACATTTTCCAAAGTTATAGAATAAAAGATATAAGTTTATGTGTCATGGGAAGACTTAGACTATCTTATACAAGTGAGCAAAGAGCTGGTAACTCTAGAAGAAAAAACTATGACTCAAGTGTTGGTGGTTTGGAAGCACCAAAAAGATGCAGACGCATTGCCAGAAAGGATGAATTTTGGAAAGTCTTTCTTCCAGCAGTTTATAATCTTACAAAAGAGGCCAAAAGGGAAAGTGGAGGAATTCACTAACATGCAAATCTCCGCACATGCAAACTTAACTTTCTACTCAGACAGAAACAGAAAACACAACAAACATTTATAAACCCACAATAAAATGTAAATGACATATAGTAAAACTGGTGGTTATCAGAGTAGTGTGCAGAGGTAGAGTCTGGCTGCATATATATCACCTTTAAGAAGTCAATTTTCTTGCCAGCACCTACTTGTCTGGAAATAAAAGTCACAATCATTTTCAAACATACATGCACATTGTTGAAATAATTAAGCTAAAGCTCATATAGCCGAGTGACTAGTTATGCAAGATAAGTGTTTTTCTGAAGGATACCTTTAGTCACTTGAAAGAAAAGAAAAGATGGGAGGAAATATGAATTTCTGTTTAAAATGCGTAGGGAAAACACACTATAGTTTAGTTGCTCATTTTAATCTCCTGAAAAAAAAACATATTTCGAGAGCACTAAAGTTACTTTCTGTGATTTGTTTCCTTCGTCAATGCCTTGGTCTTCTAGTCCAGGGCATTTGTATCCTAGGTTGTCAGAAAATTTACAACTTGCAGAGTTATAAATTCATATGACAATGGTCATTTGCGCAGGCCAAATAGTTCATCTGCCAAATATTGCAGCTCACAGTTGCTCAGTGCTTCCTCCCAGACCCCACAGGAAGAAGGCCATAGGGCCTAAGGGAGGAGATGAATACAACCTCCTGTATGCGATTCCAACCGGAAAAACTGTATCACTTCAATTCCCATTACTCCCATCTTCTATGAAAAAGGAGGTGTGGTTGATCCCTTCATGGTACACTTGTCCAAACAATGGCTACAATACACTCTAGTTGTTCTCCATACTGGTACAACACAAGTGTACCAGGTCAATGGTACTGACTCATGGGTGAGTTCCAACACGTCTGCAGGAATAAGATGAGTCTTGAAAATTGAATGGGATATATAAAACGAAACACTGATTTACTCTTTTAAAAAATGCAACCTCTTGAGTAAGCTGGCTAGATAGATTTCTTTTTAAGGACAGTAGAAAGGAAGAATAGAAGAAGTTACATCAAATGCCAAGGGAGAGAAACCTCGAGGGATCATCTTTCTAGCAGGACTGAAGTTACTGACTCAAACCACTAGCTTTCCTAACAGAGTGTCTTCTTCAGGGGAGAAATTAGTAGGGACAAGACATAATTATAACGTGTCAAAACGAGCCAAGGAGCTCCCCTTACCATCAGGACTCCGAAGTGAGTGAAGTGTGTACAAAGGCAGATGGTCTCCCCAGCATTGGAATCGGGGTGCGCAACACATCCTGAGGTGTTCCATCCACCAAGACTTTCTGCCGGAAGAAACGAGTGAAGAACGGTAGCAGTTGTGTGCTCTGTAAGGGACAAGAGCCCTCCTGCCTCAAAGAGCTGAGCTGTAACACGGGTGCCATTCTTGTAGCAACCAAGTTGTAGAGTGATTTAGAATCCTTGAGCTTCATCTCAGAATTACTCAGGCGGTGGTTTCAAACTGTGTTCCACAGAAATATCTCAGGGTTTCTGAAGTTGTTCATATTGAATTTTTAACAAAGTTTGAAATCAACTTTCATAAAAACTAAGATTCCTTTCCAAATGTTATATGCTAATGAGATCTCTGAAGGCCAATACATTTTTGCTGTCTGGGATCAGACTAACTTTTTGTGAAGACAGACGAGGAAAGGAGGTCAGCTTTCTTAGACTATTCTGTGATGTACACAGTGATTATCATTATGAAGACCGGCAAATTGTTTGAACACACCCTACTGATTTTTTTGCCATTATATCTGTCCATTTCTTTACATATGCTTAGGCACAGAATGATACTTTTAACCAAGTATACAATTCAATCAGGATCTCAAAAGGTGTACAACTAAAACAGAGCAACTAAACTGTAATAAAAACTGACAAAAAGAGACCTGGGGAACCACTGGACTGTATTTCTCATAAGCAAAGTAGCCGGTATGACACCAGAATGGATTTAGTAGCAACATGGCGTTAAGGGAAGATGACCCTTAAGGATGAATACATGGGGCTTCCTTTTGCACAGACCCTTACTCATTTCCCCACTCTCTACCTGGTGATTTCTTGATTTCTTGCATGTTCCTTCCTGTCTTGATGGCTCAACACCATTTTGGAGGTAACATTTCCCCAAGTAATCTATGATCTTTATAATTGCTCCTATGTTTATCTTCCCTCAGTAGGCTCTTTCACCCACCCCATAATTTTTATGCCTTGTGGATGATAAATAATCTCATCGGATCTATAATGGGAAGAGCTAGAGCTCATGTTCAACTGAAATTGGATCAAATAAAAATGTGTCACATTGCACATATACCTGAAATGAAAGTGATCCATTCATTCAAACTGTGAGTCAAATACATTCATCTATTGCAGTGACGAAAGTTATTTTAAAAGTGAGAATTGATTTCCCAAGCTATCTAAACTATACTTTGAAGCTCAGGTGCCCTTAAGTTGTGGTTTCAGGTGAAATGGGGGTAGGGTCACTGGGAATGCTTGACAACACTTGAAATTCTATGAGTCTATATTAAGTCCCCCAGGATTTTACAACTTACTATTTTTGTTCATATCCCAGAAGGCACAGATGGGACGATGCACTTCCTGTATTAACATAAAAATAAACATGCAAAGTTGTATTTTAACTGTTTAAAAGTCTCCACTGAAATGCAATGTCAAGGACATGAAAATGTCAAGGACCTCACAAAGATACTTATCAGTAACCAGATGCAGCAGCACCACCTGAGAAGATCAGGAGCCTGGATAGACCTCCTCTCCTAGAGAGGTCAAATCAAAATCAACTAGGACCCCCCACCAATTAGAATTACACTCACTTTTCTGCAGGACACTCACTCTCTGTTCCATTGTAAAATACTGAATCCACTATTATTCTTCATGTCTAGCAAAGACTTTTGTAACTTAATGATCATAGCATCGTCAAAACTCTCCCGTATGCCTAAACTCAGGGCCTCAAGAGGCAGCTGTGTACCTGCAGCTAGATTACATTATTCACAAAAAGTAGCCAGAAAATAGAAGCAACCCAAGTGAGCATCGACGGGTAAATGGAGAAAATCTGTTGTGTTCCCACAAAGGACTATCAGTCAATCTTTTAAGGAAGGCACGCCAGGCATTTGCTACAACACAGATGGATCCTGGAGGCATTATGCTAAGTAAAATAAGTCACTTCTGCAGGATCGTTACTGTCCGGTTCTCTGGGGTGACTGTCAGAATCAGATTAGTGCTGCAGGAACATGGAATGAATAGAGGTTGCTAGAGATTTCTGGAAGGTAAGAACAGGAAATTAATATTTAATCGGGGCAGAGTTTCAGCTGGGAAAGATTTAAAAAAACTAGTGGAGATATATGGCATATCTATTGACAAAAATGCAACTGAACTGTATATCTAAAAATGGTAAGTTCTAGTAAGTGTGTTTCACCATGGGCCATATACCAAGGTCCTCCTTTATGAATGCCAAATCAAATGCAGCCAGAGATGAACAAGGAGGTCTCTGAGGGTTCATCACAGGGTAGATTCTTCAGTGTTTCAACTCCAGTCCTCAGGCCTTATCAGCCTACTCACTTCCTGCCTGGCTATTGTGAGACCATGATCCAGAAACTCTACAAAAGTGAAAAAACTTGTATGTGAGCTTCAGGGGAACATATGAACTCGCATCTCCATGCATCACATAACTGGATGGCGGAGAGGGTCCTGAGATAAGAATACTAACATTTGGCATCTCTTAAGCTGCTGTACATCTCCCAAAGAATGAGTCTTTGCCTCTTGAGCTTTCTCTGATGCAATTCTTTGAATTTAAAATCACAAAGAGGAAGTCACAATCCCTGATCAAAACTTGTGCCTGCATCCCTGTATTTGAGGATATTCAAGTCTTGTCTTAAGAACAGTAGTCCTATTGGGCGGTGGTGGTGCACACTTTTAATCCCAGCACTTGGAAGGCAGAGGCAGGAGGATCTCTGTGAGTTTGAGGCCAGCCTGGTATACAAAGCTACACAGAGAGACCCTGTCTTGGAAACAAACAAACAAACAATTGTCAACCTCTTGGTCACTTCCATTCTCTTCTTGGGTACCAGGTAAGACAGACTCATTGGTGGCTGCTGCCAATCATGGTGCCTGTATATTGCCCCTAGCCTGATTAGCACATCTCCTTTCTAGAGGATGGATGTTACCCCCTCATAAAACGGGTTGGTTGCTCTTTATTTGTGCACTTCTCTGAGCTAGTGTGCTACAAGATGCAAGTACATGCAGCTATCATTTCATAAAATAACTCAGAAGACTTAAGTATTCTTCTGATAGATAAACCAATACAAAAGTTGTGCGTGGCGTTATAATCTTGTGAATGAGTTGGTTGTTTCTTGCTGTAGATTCTTCCTGTAGTTTATTCCTTTTTGCAACACACTTGGGAATTACTCCCCACAGTTCATCACTATTTGATCATTTACTGGGAACAGATTCTCCCATGCATTTGGAGTTTTACTGATTATACTCCCTAGCTATGCCTAAAACCCGTTCCCCAATAACAGGTCCTAGTTTACTGACTACATTCCTTAGCTATGTGTGAGACCTGTTTCTCACTATCAGGTCCTTGTTCCCCTCTCCCATGTAATTACAGAGATCTGCCTTCCTGAAATTATCCTTATTGACATGAATTTGGTCAGTGTTTAGGGCCAGGCAAAAGCATCCCATCTAAGACATTCCCAGATATCCAAGGACATAGAATTACTACATGCCCAAAGTTGTTGGTTCATAGCTGCCTAGATGGATAGAAAAAAGCACGCCCTGGTTTTACATCACTGGTAGATAGAGAAGTGATAACCTAAACTAACCCTGCACTAAAAGATTCTCAGACTTCTTTTATTAACAAAGATTCTAGCTCAGACATTTACTGCCTGTGGTTCCCCTGAGAAGATAGAGGTAATCAGCCCATTTGCTCATCCTCAGGGAAAAGTAAACTTTCCTGAAGACCTGTGCTGCCACTGAGGTCAGAGCACCGGAAGGCACCAGGTTTTGTTTCTTGTGCAAATTAAACTTAGACCCTCTCTTTGACCTACAGCCCTAAGTAACTGATGCTAAACGTTTCTCCTAGCAGTTTTAATTTATTGCTCTGTGTGTAAATCCTATCTGCCTTGCTGATTCTGAGAAACTCAAGCCTCACACTGTATTGCAAAAAGAATTACTGTTGCAAACGTGCGTGCGTGCGTGCACGTGTGTGTGTGTTTGTGTGTATGTGTGCCTCCAAGAACTGGGGGGGGGGCAAGAAAAATAAGGGAGAAAGAGAGCAAAAGAAGAATAAAGGAATATGCACGAACAATTGTGTGTGAGTCAATTCATTTTCCCTCAGATTTTAGTTCCTTTGCTATTTGTAGTTCCCCTTTTTGAATCCTGAGTGAAAATTTTAGAAGCTGGCCTTCTAAATTTTTCTGTACTAGTGTGCACAATTTTCAACCAGTATACATGGCATTTTCTTACCTGAGTTCTGGTGTGTTTGATTTTGATTTGAACTGGATCCTTCAGATTCTGGATAGTAATGTTTCCAATGCTACATGCCATAACATAACTCACTAGGATTTTTCTTTGCGATTCAACATCCTTTTAAAGAAATGAACAGATCGCGTGCATTACTCCCAAGTACACACTTTCCTGCTCCAAAGTAAGCAAACTGTCAGCAACTTTCACACTTAAGATCTTCAATTCTAGAACATCCTGTTTATAACTTCCAATCACTGGCTTTCCTGAAGGGTCTATGCAATTTCCCTTATTATAATAAATATATTGCAGGGACAGCACGAACCAGTGTTATAAGGTAATGTTCATACTCCATTCTCCATCACTCTGATTGACGTCAGCCAATTGACAACTGTAACAGTATGAACTCATAAATCATACAAACTCATAAAAATCTGTGAAGCAATTAGATCATTTCCCAACTCTAGAAAACAGATGAAGTTATTAATGGTGTAAAAATTAAGAAGCAATCTATCATTTCACACCCATGCCAACCGCCTGGCATGTTTACCAACTTATACTAACTAACTCTATTGGATTGAAGTCCCACCCAGAACTTCTGCCTTCTGTTCTTTCAGACTCAACAGCTGCTTCAGACTTCACACAGAAATCAGACCATCAGACCGGAGGCGTCCCTTATTCTGTGCTGGCCAATGACTTAGAACACTGGCCTGCATTTCTAGCATCTTCTCTGGGTTTCTCTTCCATCTGGGGTTCTTATCAAACCATAAATTGCTCTATGCCACAGTTTATAAGTCAGTTGTATTAAACTTATTGCACCAAGTAAAAGCCTCCAGTGTCAGGAACTGAATCATTAGCCAAAGGGACCTCATTGAAACTCCAAGCATCATAGGCTATGGTCAAGTCTATTTATTGCTCGCCAAAAAGTGATGGTAAGGCCCTGTTGCTGAAGACAACACACATCTCATAAAGCATAGAAAAGCCAAGCTGGTTCCTAACTCAAAGTTTGTATGAAAGACTCAAGTCCATTTATATTACACATGGATGTTTTACAAAGCCTGTTCCTAATGCGTTTGTAAATAATGTTTTTTAAGCTTTAAAATTGCAGTTCACCATATTCATCCCCTTTGTCATCTATCTATCTATCTATCTATCTATCTATCTATCTATCATCTATCATTTACCTATCATCTGTCTATCTACCTATATCAAGCATTTATCTACCTATCATCTATCTATGCATATATCATTTATCTTTTTCATTCTATCACTACATCTTTTATCTATCTCCCTCTCCCCTTTGTGCTGTCTCCCAAGTGCTGGGATTACAGGAGTGTGGCAGCAGGCTCAGCAACTTTCTTCTCCATAACTGAGTGATTCACAGGGTGACCCTATGAGAAACATCCCTATGGGCTTGAGACTCAAAGTGCTCTCCTGCACAGGGTGCACAGCTAGACAAACACCGTTATCCTGAGTTTAACTGATAAGTCTTCTTCAGAGGAAAGGATCCAGCAAATGCTCTAGATGGGGCTGTCCTCATTAAGGCAGCCAAGGGTCACTTGTGTTTTCTGGCAGTGGATCGTCTAGTTTCTGAGATGCTGCCAATAAAAATGATAATATGTGCTCAGCACAATGCCACCCTACTCTGCGGATATGAAAATGCCAAAGGTCATTTGAAATACTAATGGGAAAAATGATTAAAGTCAAGAATGCCGTTCATTATGTACAAGGTGCTTCCTGCCGAGTTAAAAAAAAAATCCTTTCCTCTGGTGCGCAAATGCTTTAACTCTACAGGCCTTGGGCTGGAGAACAAAAGGATTAACAAATAATAAACAGTAGCGTCATAACTAACTCAATTTCTCATTATGTAACACAAGTCTTAGCCTGATATTTGTTTTAAAAACTCAAGGAAGCAAAAACTGTTAAAAGGGACATTATTCGAAATAAAATATCTGAACGTTTACATTATTTTTTTAATTTTGAAAATATAGTAGGTTCATTTTTATGCACCTGCTGGTGCATTTCAAAGGAATCTGAACATTTTAGCCTTTGAGAAAAGATTCTTCATTAGAAATTGGAAAACAAATTGACACAAATTCTCACCTGGAAAAGTCCAGTTTTGTTGAAGAAAGTAAACTGTGCTCTTCTGACTAAAGCAGAGTCTTCTTGACTTAAATTCTCCAGCAAGTTTGGGGGTAAAATCACAGATGCCAACGAATCTGTCTGTCCATTCTCAAAGTCCATCTGCCACACACAAACACGTCAGCAGAAAAGTCATCATGAGGACAATGGTAAGACAGTCCCCAGGCTGGAAGGACCGCATTAACCAGAACCAGGGTTGACCTTTACCTCTGCAGAAGTCTGGAATTCTGGGATAAGTCCTCACCATCAGTCAGAGATTGCATTAGGGGTTCACATAAGAATGCTTTGATTATAAAGTACATCAACAATTCTAGAGACCGATTAATATTTTCACCTGTGAGGGTGGGACTTAGAGGTGTCAGACTTTGATGTTTTCTCCATACACTTCATGAGAAAGCAGTGACTATGGGCATAGACTAACTTGTTTAACAGCAGAAGTTAGTTGCCTCTGCAAAGAGGTGACAGCTGTTTTTGTTTTGTTTTGACATCATAGCTTTCATTTGAAATGAGACAGGCAGAGTGACACACTTTGAATGGAGGAATTATACAGTACATCTCAGCCTGGATGGACAATCCTCTGGTTGTTTTATGACCTACAGACTGAAAGAAAAACAGCCAGCCCTATGAACACTGTCAGATACCATCTTTTCTTGAAACTGTAAAGCAGGCCATAGAGATTCCCTGTGCTTAATATGAGCCTGGGACCAGTGGATCTTGTGATGTTTAAATATGAAATCCCTAATGACCCCCATCACAATCCCTAGTCCAAAGAGAACAAAAGTATTATTTGTATCTTAAGATTGCATCTTTTCTATGTTCAATGCGATCTATCTTGAGAGTTAATAATAATAATAAAAAATAATGATAACAATAATAATAATAATAAATCTATGTTCCATGAATACTTTCCCAGGTCAGGAATGGTGCTGTATTCATTGTGTTTGCTCTGTTTGTTAACAGTGCCAGAGGCATAGTAGAAACTTGAAGATTATTGGATGAACTGTGATATTAACATATCCAAGGGAGTTGGTAGAGACCCAGATTGCTTGCCCAGCCTTGTTGGCTGCCTGCCACTGCCAAGCCTTTACATTGTGGATTTTCAACCATAGGATCCTCAGCAGCATCTGAGCACTTTATTAACCTGGACATGGCAGGGTCCTATACAGAACCATCTTAGACACTCTGATGGCAAGGCCCAGGATTGTTCTGAACACGTCTTCCCTGGGACACTGGAGTTCAGTTTTAGAAGCAGCGACAAGGAGATAGCTTCTCCCTTGTCTCTTCCTGCCTGAAGTTCTTTAGTAAGACTTTTCTTTCTTTATACTGGTTCCCAAACCATACTTCCAATATTGTGGTCTCTATCCATGTGTCAACATTTTGCTTTATCTTCCCCTCCTTTAGAAGATGTCATTCATCATGTGGGCCATGAATTATATGCTCTCTGTGCTTCTACTTTTCCTCTGGATGGTGATGTCATTTTAGCCAACATTCAGATCTGTCTACCAACTCTTAGATCAACTTCCTTGAGGTATCTAATATTAAAGAACCAGTAAGTTTGTTCTCTGTGTCGTTGGTTAGTTAAAATGAAAACAAACATGGGTGTGTTACCTGGAAATAGGATTCGTTATTACTTGGAAGGCCAATGCTAAAATTTGAAGGTGCATCCGTCCCTGGCATCAGGGATGAAACTCCAAGAGCCAAATTCTGTGTAGCAATATTCACATGTGGTGTGCTATTCAGGTCTATTTTGAAGGCTAGCTCATCAATGGTTTTTAAAGCTCTAAAGAAATGAAAATAGCATCACTGTTAATTACACTGTATTTTAGGTACTTGCCGCATAACAAAATACTAATAAATTATCCTTAGTTCTCTGATGTTATAAGAACACAGCCATAAAACCATCCCAAACTCCAGTGCTACCTGGTAAAACACAGAATCCCAATAATTGATACTGGGTACACAGGAACTGTATCCTCTTAAGCATAATCAGCAACTAAAATCATCAGAAGTTCTGTTTTCCACTAATCCTATTTGAGAAGCCAGAAGATACTGTGAAAGTGTTTGCAGTTAGTGTGATAGAGATAAAATAACCTAAAGAGTATGCTTAACAAATACATTTATCAAAGAAGTATTATTTAAAGAAAGAAAATAGAAGAAATTAAAGGCCCTACTATCAAGGGGAATTATAAAATATAAAGTAGTCCTACCTATCCTAAGCATTTTGTTTTGTTTTTCAAGACAGGGTCTCTCTGCATAATTTTGGAGCATGTCCTGGAACTTGCTGCTGTGTAGACCAGGCTGGCTTGATCTCAGAGATCTCCCTGCCTCTGTCCCCTGCCCAGAATGCTAGGACTAAAGGTATGTGTCTCCACACCCAGCAGGCATTTTCATTTTAGAAGTTCACATAGCTGCAACAATGTATAGAGCTTTGTGTAGACTGACAAGTGGCCAAGTTATAATAACCCTGGATAACCTGGATAACCAAAGTTTTAGAATAAAAAATATATTGGGGTATGCTCTAGTTGGGGATGGGGTGGGTATTTATATATGCTGCCAGATGAAAACTCTAATCACTTTGTAAAGTATACTTTTGAAATAATTAGAGAGCTTTAAAGTTGACTTTGTCAGTGACCTTGGGAAATACCTATGCATCTTCTAGAGTTATGAATCATGGAGTATGGGTACAAGGCATTCAGAGGTAGCAGTGCTCTCACAACACATGGGTGCAGCTTAAGTCTCAGTTGTACTTACTCAGAAGAGGACTCCAGCAAATCACTATCTGAACTGCTTAAGATGTTAGAAAATATATTCATGAGAGTGGAGCCGAGAGCTATATCAATATTTTCTTCTTTGCTCACGATCCTTTTGACCTGTTCTACAATGCTGTTAATATTGGCTGAGGTTAGGTTCTGCCCGTCACCAGTTAAGTCTAATATCTCATTGGCCACTTCATTTGATTGTCCTATAAGGCGAGAAAGAAAAATATTAGATTTGCCTGGGTGTTTTGGACATTTCTAGGGACAGACAGTATGAATAATTTACTATACAACTGCAAGAAGTGGGGTTCCCATGCAAACCCCACACCGCCTTTATAAGGTAACGTTTCTTTACACACAATGACAGATTTCTTAAGTATGATACAAGTGATTCAGAGGGACCAGTGTTCACTTGAAATCACTGAGTATACGTTTCCTATTTAAAAATAATGCATAAATATTAAAAACATCGATAGAAATAGTGGTTTACACATTACTTTTAAATCCTCTGCATAATTTTCTTACCATTTTTGCTTCCCTAGGTTATGAATATGGCAGAAATTTAAAATGCCTGAGAGTATATTTTCTACCTAAACTATGTGAGATTCATTTGCCTGACTCTAATTATAATATCACACAACGGAACATCACCCCCCTGCAGAAAATGAAAACCTTGACGATGCTGAGGTCGCTTCACTCTGTCTTTGGGAATGGAAGGCAAATTTCACTCACGTGAACAGTTGGAGATATCAACGGGGCCCCAGAAGGTCGACGTTGCATTAGAAAGGCTGCAAGAATTCCCAGACAACACAACGACATTTCAGTTTATGGCACCAATGAAATTACAATGAACAAAAGCAATTCGTAAGCTTCAGGGTTTGCTTTGATAGCTAGCTAGATACGCGTTTAAAAGAAGACTAAAAATGATGATAAAAGTCCTTATTGGAAACCCAGGGAGTAGCTAGCCTCTTGAAGGGACGCACCAGCTACACCCTGCATCCTGACCTTGTGTGCACTGTCAAGTGCCGCTTTAAAGACTTTACCGGAAAACTCACATTTTGATTTCACATACCTCTGGAAAGCAGATTTCAATCCAAGTTTATGAAAGAGGAAATGCATTTTAGAGAAGCCAAGGAATTTTCCCAAGAACTCGAGCCAGGAAGAGGTAGGGCCACATTTCAAACTCGAGTCCATAAATCTCGAGGCACCCGTCTTTCCTCCCCACCAAGTGTCAAACGGCCCTCGATGCGGACGGACGACTCACACTTAGGTACTTTCTGTTCCTGAATGCCTTCCCAAAGAACTAACTGGGCCCCAGGCAGAGGGTGGAGAACTCGACATGCAGGGAGCTTTGGCGGAGGCCTGCAACTGTCTCATCGAAGGTTTATGAGACATGCAGGGAAATCCTGTGTCTTGGCAATCTATGTCAACAGGCTGCCCAACCTGGATCTGGTTTTTAGTCCCCCTTTGCCAAATGGGTAAGAAGTCATGAGAATTTAGGTGCATGTACTGAGACCAAGCTGGCCCCGATAGCCTTTGCTCTGGAGGCACACTTTGGTTCCCAGTTTCCTCAGTCTTCTCCTGGAGAGAGCTCAATTAACACACTGCTCACAGGGGAACAGCCCTGTGGGTAATAGTCTTCCCTCATCTATAACCATCTATAACCAACAATGAATGTGTAATTCCTGCCTGGCTTCTCCAATCATCACAAGGAATGAGTACTGCTGCGACATATGTAGTAAGCTTGGACATGCGGCTTGCAAGTCAAGGGAAGAATTACCATGTCCGTGTCACGAAAAAGCCAGGCTTGTTAGGGCATGGATGTTTGTAGACAGAAGCTGAGGTGGCTGGCCAACTAAAGCCCTCTGGATCCTCCAAGGCACTACACATACCTAGGAGAAAATAAAAGTCAACGTGAAACAGGCTAACCCCTAATCTGAAGTTAAAAGGTGTGGGATAAAAACCTATGACAGCCTTTGGAATTCAGTAACTGTAATATACTACTAAAATATCAGTGTTTTATATTTAGAGTTTTTTTAATTAGGAAAAAATAAACATATTTCATATAAAAATTATTAGGTCTTACAAAGCCATCTTAAATAAAAGAACATAATGTAACAATAAAATAATATGATCATTCACATAAACCATTAAAATATTAGGAAACACGTTTCATTCAGGGCATAAACATTATAGGAATTGAGAAAATACCTGAAAATTTAAAAATCTGTTTAAAACTCAGGGTGGGGGGTCAGGGGTGGTCAAATCTGGCATGAATAGTTTCATTGCTGAGTTGTTAGAACATTTTATGGAACATCTTCTAGCTGTTCCCATAGTGTAAACTCTCTACAAGCTTACTGGAAAAGAAAAGAAGAGAAAAGAAAAACAAACCAAGCCCTACCTGCTTACCTCCTGCTTTCATTCTCCAACTGTTCCACTTTTTATTTGAAAATACTCTCGTTAATTGATTGTGATGGGAAAAACAATTCAGATTTTATCTTTTGAAAATGTCAAAGTCAAAGCAAGGTAGCAACAACTACAACAAAACCTTCTAAGTACACAGCAGTGAGCTTCTGGTCTTTCTGAGAACAAGCATGGCAAGCCCCAACTGAAAATTCAAATGACTTTTCCAACCCACCCTTTGAATTTGGGAGGCTTTCAGCTTTCATTTTCAAATGCCACAGACCTTCCTTCATAGAATCACGAAAGAAACACCATCAAATAACAGCAAATAATGAGTATAAATTAAGTATCCATGTGTGCACAAAAGGCTGTCTTAAGGTTTCCCAGCCTTTGAGGGCAGATGGGGTTGGTCCCTTGGGGTTGTGTGGTCAGATCTTGGCTGCCATTCATCTCACTGCCTCTTTGTAGACTCTTGTGTATGACGTGGGGCTCTCACTCCTCACTAGAAGTCCTGCTCGTGAGACTTGGGAGCTCTCCTCACTAGAAGCCCTGCTTGCGAGGAGGCTTACACTTCTCTCCTCACTAGAAGCCCTGCTTGCGAGGAGGCTTACACTTCTCTCCTCACTAGAAGCCCTTCTCGTGAGGAGGCTTACACTTCTCTCCTCACTAGAAGCCCTGCTCGCGAGGAGGCTTACACTTCTCTCCTCACTAGAAGCCCTGCTCGCGAGGAGGCTTACACTTCTCTCCTCACTAGAAGCCCTGCTCGCGAGGAGGCTTACACTTCTCTCCTCACTAGAAGCCCTGCTCGCGAGGAGGCTTACACTTCTCTCCTCACTAGAAGCCCTGCTCGCGAGGAGGCTTACACTTCTCTCCTCACTAGAAGCCCTGCTCGTGAGGAGGCTTACACTGTTGCGAAGTCGCAGGTACTGTTGAGTAGGAATCCTCACCACTGTGGCTGCTGTTTACACTTGCCCACCTCCCTCAGGGTCTCTCTAACTCTGACACAGTAGATAGAGGTGGGCAGGTGCTCACACAAGTGGGCATTCATCACACTTGGATCTGGTCTTGGTTGTTTGCATGCTCTGGGGGAATGAAAGCACCCACATTCCCTTGTCAGCTTCCTTAGTGTACTTGAGGCAGAGCAGCAAAACCTTTTGTCACAACTCTTACTAAAATCCCTATTCGACTCTGACTTTATTCATGGAATAACATCAGAGTAATTACATTTGTTATGTATGACATTCATTAAGATGCATCCATTAAGCCGGGCTGTGGTGCCTCCCGAGCACTGGGATTAAAGGCCTTTAATTTCAGCACTTCGGTGGAAGAGGCAGGCAGATCTCTGTGAGTTTAAGGCTGGCCTGGTCTAGAAAGTGAGTTCCAGGACAGGCTCCAAAGCTACACAAAAACCCTGTCTCTGAAAAAAAAATGCATCCATTCATCAAATACTCAAGTGCTAGGGACTAAGCATTTAAAAAAATAAGGTCTCATGCCAATGATGCAATTACATGAAGAAAATGTGCATGCAAATGCAGAATAAGTCCAATAGAAGATGATACTCTTCTGGGGTATGTGAAACACAAGGTATCCGAATAACATGAAGCAGAGACTCAGCGATGGTGGTGTGTATCACATCAGATGATGTCAGGAAAGGCCTTAAAGAGGAGGTGGCCTTGTGGTTATCATTAAAGATATTAGGTAGCAGAGGTTTGCACACATCTGATCATGAGACAGCATGGGAACTTGGGAAAGTACAGGAATCATGGGAGCTCAGGACAGGGAAGGTATGCTGCTGAGAACAGATTTTCACTTCAAGAATCCTGACTTATTCCTGTGACATCATTAATGGGCAAAGAACACAACAAAAAGAGACGCTTTAAAATAATGAACTTCTCTTCATGAGTCATTTCATGAGAGATCTAGTAAACGCATAAATGACTTTCTAATTCTATACGTAGAAGCCAGTGATGGTCAGTTAATCCCAGTCCTTCGCTCCTTTTAGGATGAGAAAGGAAAAATACAAACTGTCTGCCTCCTTCACTCCCTTAGAGTCAGAGGTGCTGAACAGATTTTTATGCAATGTTACACATTTTTTTAACAATCTGTCATATAACAGATTTCACCACTAAAAACCACACTTTACACAGGCAAACAACAAAAGGAGACTACCCGGGCTGTTGCATGTTTAACTCTGAATATATAATTCACTCATACTGAACTCACTTACCTAGCTGCTTCACATTGACTGTGTACAGTCTCAGGCCGTCCTCCAGCGATGCGTTGTTTGTTAAAAGCTTCTGTTCAATTATTTCTCCATCAAGGTTGACATTATTGGTGGCATTATAGACTAGAAGAGCCCACAGCACCAACCTAGAAAAGGATGTCAGAGAGAAGTGTTGTTCCGGAGGTTGCTTTCAGACTTTTTTTTTCTTTTTTTTCTTTTTTTTTGGTTGGGAGAAATAGAACATGGATTCCATGACATGTTGAGACTGAAAAGATCAACCAAGGCATCATGGTACATCTGTGGTACAATGTTCACTCTGCTTCATCTGGAGTAGATTTTTATAACACCGTTCTTCAACCAAGGCATCTTGGCTTGTTTCTGTGGTGCAAATTGCAATGTTCACTCTGTTTCACTTGGAATAGATTTTTATAACATGGTTCTTTAGAATTTTGTGGTAGCACCCACTTTTTCCGGAAATATTTATATAGTATCAACAGTTCATATGTTATATGATAATATTTATAACATCCACTTGAAAGGGGATATAGTATAGTTAATTCTCCTTTATTTCTTTATAGGCAAAACTTGAAATTTCAAAGAAAGCTGTTGAACTGAATATTGAACTCTTGAAAGCGTTGTGTGTTATTATTTATAAATATGGTGCATGTCCTGCAGATGGAGCTTCTGTAAGTACTTTGTATGGTGAAGATTTTGTAAAATAAATACTCAGAACATTCCCAGTTTGGCTAGTAAATTGGTTTTAGAATGTGTGACCCTGAAAATACCTGTATGGGAAGCAAAGACGTATATTTGAAAACCCCTGTCAAAACTTACAGCTAAACCACAATCACAGCTTTAATCAATAGTAAAATCTAAAGGCAATTCCAGTATCCAGGCGGAAGCTCATAATGCCATTTCGTGAGGCAAAGGTGTTTTTTTTGTTGTTGTTGCTCTACTATGTGAGAGCACTGCGTTTGTATTTTCTCCTCATTCTGAAGAGAAATGAAGAATACAGCCCACCTCACGCTATTATCCACACTGGTTGTTGCTCATGTGCCAGAGAGAAGTGGAGGCATGTGATCTCAAAGTATAGAGGACAACCTATTCTATCAATGAAATTTAGTCAGAAGAACAGAAGCAAAGACAGAGCTCGCACATTAGTGGTGCTAAGAAACAAGGAACAAGTTAAGAATTTGTTACTTAAGGTTAGGTGACATAGCTGGTTATACCCCGTTAGTAGTTGTCCAACTCAAGAACAAAGCATGCTCTCCTCCTAATTGACTCTGAAAAAACATTTTACCTCTAAAATGACCAGCTGCTTAATACTCATACATACACCATAATACATGATGAGGCAGGTATAGATCCGAACATATAGTGGATGGTGAACCCTTAATCATTTTCTAGATGCATATGATGAGGCGTCCTCTAATTAAATGGCTATGGGAAGAAATGTGCAGCCATTCTGGTTCCTGAGAATCCACAGCTGCATCCAGGACAACATCAGCACAAAGCATTGTGGGTGTATTCATTACACAGACTCAACCATTCAAGAAGGTGCCTGCGTTTTCACAAGCCTTATCACTGTTGTTTTTCTTTCCCATCTGAAAACAGAAACTACCCTATGGTTCTACTGTGGGCAAGATCTATCTCTTGTTGTCATCGGCATTCATCATTGGTTTAAGTCAGCCCCTCTGTGGTTTCAGGTTCCCTGTCTGTCTAGACAGAGGACTACAACAGCAATATCTGATGTTTAAACTGCAAAATTGAATTGAAAGGAAGCATTTGGCAGGTGGTGGGGGGACTAGTAGACGGTGGCCTGAAGGAAAACCAGGAGAGAGACTATAAAGCCTTGTTCATGAGTATAAGAGCAGACAGAATAGGTTTTAAAAAGAGAGGGAAGCTATAATAAAAGACAATGCTGAGAATTTATATCAAAGGAAAACGAAGTAAGTGGATTTTCCCACAAGTTAAATTGGTTCATTCTTCCTCTACTTTTTTGTGACACTATTCCCTGGTTTGACATACCAGGCAATTGAGATTTTATTTATTTAAATGTCTTTCAAACAAGAGCTTGTGAGATGCTGACATACACCAACTGTGGCTGATTTTAGTGTTATCAGTAATACAATAACCTCTTGAGGAACCTGATGGGATGCTCAACACTGGTCTTGCTCCAAATTAGCTTTGTCCCAAATGCTAGTAAAAGCACCCACAGAGGATCCTAGCTGCTACTGGATCCACTGTTGGAGGCTCAACGTGATGTAGTAGGACATGTGGGAAAGGACCATTTTCTTAGGAAGAGGAGAAAGTCTGGTCACTTACTATCCTCAGTATGTTACTGTTTTCAGATCACAAAGGAAATCAACGATGTCAGAGTAAAAATATCCCCTAACAAGACAGTGCAACCCCATTTATTAAATGTATATAGATATGACAAGTTGACAGGTTCAAGACATTTGTTTTTCTTATATTCCAATATTAAATAGAAGGGGAAATTAATAATAAAGTTATCTGCTCAACTCTCAAATACAATTTTGTGTGCATCTTCTCAGAGTAGCAATACATCATAGTCTTCATGGCTGTGTTTTCGTTTTTTAAAGATTTATTTATTATGTATACAGTATGCTCTCTGCATGGATGCCTGCAAGCTGGAAGAGGACATCAGATCTCATAATAGATTGTTATGAGCCAACATGTGGTTGCTGGGAATTGAACTTGGTACCTCTGGAAGAGTAGCCATTGCTCTTAACTCTGAGCCATCTCTCCAGACTCCATATTTTCAGTTTAAAAAAATCTTCAATTATGTTTAGGAGTATATGTGCATGCATGCATGTGTGAGTGCATGTATCTGTGGAGGTCAGAAGACAACCTGTGGGATTCTGTTTTCTCCTTCCACCATGTAAGTCCTGGGGATCAAACTCAGGTCATTAGGCTTGGCAGGAAGTACTTTTAACTAATGAACCATTTTATCACGCAATGGCTACATTTTCATAACCCTAGGCAGGTGCTACCACTACACCACTGAGTTTTGCCTCTTACCTAAACCTTCCCTTTGAAGGTCTTTTTGGAATTTTGAAGAGGGGCTTATGGATTTTGAAGACATAGAAATGCTCTCCCACCCCTCTTAAGTGCTCTGCTCCTCCAGGGATTTTCATAGACTTACATTTCATAGACTTACATTGCTCTTTTTCTGCTTTGGACATGAGAAAAAGGTGACATGCATTAACGCTGAAGAAATAATGTGAATGTACCAAGCAATTCAAAGGTTTTTCTCTGACCACTGTTTTCACTTGTTTAACAGAGCAAGAAAAAAAAAACCACACTTTCCAGGTTTCTTTGTTGTTACCTTTTGTCATCATCCATGGTGTCTCTCTTGACTTTAATCCTGTCCTCCCCTGTGCTACGATGAAAACTGTAAAGACAGACACATGTATCTGTTATCAAGCTCATCCATTGTGTCCAGTCATAGAAAGACATATGTATCCATTATCATTCACATCCATTGTGTGCATTCCTCAACAGCAAAACTGGAGAAGGCAGAATAGATGCCCTAATATTGATTCAGATACACATATGGTACTCAGATACAGTCAGTAAAGGAGTGATAAATTAAGCATTTCTATTTCTCAGATAATCATTGCGTTTACCTTATATTAACCACGTAGACAGTGTAGTTCCAATTCTGGAAGGTTGAATTGAGCTGGAAAACACAATGGAAAAGATTGAGCTTCAATAATGTTTGAAAACATTCTTTTCTGAGTCAAGGTTGTCTCCCCTCCAAACCATGAGTTGTCATTGGTTAAAAAAAAAAAACTTGGAAAAATGCTGCAGAACCACAGGAGTGAAAGATAAAGGAAGGGTTGCTGAATCAGAGAGCCTAGGATGTAGTGAAGGCCACGTGTTTTCATCTGCACATTAATCATTGAAGAGGATACTACATTCCCACCCCAACTCCACCCTCTTATTTATGAAGAAGTGGGAGCTTGGAGAGATGAGACAGCTTTTTTAGGATCATCTTCTAATCAGCAGCAGATCTCACACTGGAACTTAAGCCAGTGTGGTAGGGAACATTGTCATTTCTTCCCTAGCTCATAGTATACCAGTTCTTCAATAGACACCTCCCTTAGTGTGCATTTAATAAGTACTGAGATGCCTTCAAACATGTTTTGCAGTAATTGCAATCTCATAAAAACATGTATAAAAATACATCTTTGATAGAGCTCAGTGGTATTAGGACTATACCAATTTCGTGTGGTTAACAGTGGGTCTCAATATAAACAACAAATTTCCATGGTTCAGCCACACCAAATCCTGTTACCTTTAACCTATTTCCCAAGGCCTCTTTGGGTCATATTCCATACACATCTTTTTACAATGTTGCAAACATTGCTAAAATGCAGTGCAAATTGTAGAACACAATGTCAAAATAATGATAATTATTTTCTATGTATGCTTTATCTAAGTTTGGTACCTGGGGCCAAAATCATTTCAGATTTCTGGTTTTTTCACTGGATTTAGAATATTTGCATAGACTTCACTGGTTATCATCTCTAATTCAAAATACTTGAGATGTCTGTCCGATTAGGAGTTTTCAGGTTAGAGGCATTGGAGACATAACTCACGCAGGCTGTTTTCAAGCACCTTCTTTGGGAGCTTGCATCACAAAAGGTAGCTAATAAAGCTTAGCCTCCTATGACAATAACATTGGGATGAAAATCACACAGGACAAGATGTAAATAATGCAAGCTCCCCAGTTAGTGTTCATTTCATACTAGCCATGACTTGAGAATGAAACGAAGTAATTTAATAGTTAGAAATCATTCTGCATGTAAAAGCAAATTAAAAGAACACTGTGGGAAGACAATGGGATGCAAGAAGTCATCCTGTCTCCACAGCTTGTTCTCCATGTGGTCACTGAGCACACGTCCCTGTTTCAATCCAAGGAGACTATCAGGGTCAGCTTTGTGTCCTGTGTCCAAATACATCTCTCCTCCTGTGTATAGACACAAGACCTTGTTCCTGTTTAGTCATATACTTTTTAACATTTTCAGTTTTGCTTTTAATTACATGTATGTAATTACGTGTATGTAATTACGTGTCTATGTGAAGGGTAGGCACACGTGAGTGCTGTGCCCAAAGAGACCAGAAGAGGGCATTAGAGTCCCCTGGAGTCTGGAGTTGTAGACAGTTGCGAGCTGCCAGATATGGATGCTGGGAACCGCAATTGGATGGTCTGGAAGAGCAGTATGCACTCTTAACCCACTGAACCACTTCTCTAGCACCCTATTCATATGTTTATAATGAGAATTGTCTGTGCAGCAATAAGAGCTAGGGTTTCCTTCATTGTCTTTCCCATCTGTTTTAAAGCAAGAGTCAATGGGATAAATTCACTTACCCATTCTGCTACCTTGCTCTGCACCTTCACTTCAGGGTGATTAAGGTCGTTGTGAATCACAACAGATATTCTATACAGTATCCCGTCTGCGCATTGGAAATAGGATTAATAGTTAATTACATTTCACAATCGGAACAAACAATGCAAATTCATAGCCACATTATTTCACATATGTTTAAAGACACATAGGCACAGGAAATTTTGGCCAATTTTGATGTTAAAATTATTCTTGCAGCTACTTAGAAGGAGCTATTGATTAGTTTACTCAGAAATATTTTCATTGCTTCTAAATTAATCACTCGGCTATGATCATTTTAATATTTGCAAGCTACTTCACTAATTCTATAGATTTGGTACCTTAGGTTGATAAAGTGATAGTTCTTCCATGTGAAGTTTGATTTTTTTTGTTAATAAGGAATTATGCTGTTTTGTTTGTGGTTAAAAATGGTAGGTTGAGAATGTGAAGTATTAAGTGATTGGAATCCTTGGCAAGATTGATACCGGAAATGAACAAGCATGCACATGTCCCCTCTCCGGTGAACCTTCCCTCCCACCCTGTTTTGCTTCTTCTCAGGGAAGCATGCACTTCTAAGTTGAAGTATTGGGTGGGATTTGACCAAATTTTTCCTTTTAAATTTCTAAGTATAGCCCCTTTACCAAATATGGGAGGAGGCTAATAGTCACAGCTAGAATTTCAATTGATTTAGTTGGCTTTATATAGAAAACCATATTCTGAAAAGAAGTTTTTATTTTTTTCTCTTAGTGGTTCTTTAAAGTAGTTGTCTTTTTGTGCTCATGGAAGATGAACTCATCAGAAAGGTTTTGTTGGATGACAGGAGCTGACTATGTGCCACATGGCATGTGACTCAAAGTAACAGACTCAAAAATCACCCTTTAAAATTGAGTTAAAGAGAAGGGGGGTATTGATGTCTATTATTGTTAGCCATATTTACCCATGCATTTTAGGGAAGTCTTGAGTAAAAAGCATAAAGTTATCTGTAAATATATAATTAAGCAATGCTGAGGAGTACATTCAATGAAAATTTGGGAGAAGCAGTACTATATAGGAAAGCATGTCTGTGGAAAAGTCCCAGCTATACCAAAAATGCAAATCCCAGTCCTGTAAGTCTCGTGTGAAATAGAAATGTATACCTTATCATATACAAATACCCAAAAATAAATTCAAAGACCAGTGAGCTTATACAGACAAGCTTATTTCAATTTCTAAAATTCCTTACTGTTTTAATGATTTTGAATTTTCTATTTCCTCAAAGTATATTGTAATACATGTAAGAAAGATGATAATACTTCAAATTTTAAAAATCCTACACTGTAGGTTCCCTCACATGAAATCATGGACCAGCTGAGGGACTTAGAGGAAATCCAAGCTTCAGAGTGCAATGTCGCAATATGCAAGGATAGTCTGACAGTCAGGGATGCTTGTAGTGTTTCTAAAAGCTACCACTAGATGGAGCACTAAAGATAAGTTTTTTTCTTAGCTTGAAAACACAAAACATCAATATTACAATACTGACATTTCTGAAATTTTATGGAAACATCCAAGTATTTAACCCAGTTTCTTTCTATTTTAAACCTTTCCTGTCTCACTTTTTCCTTTAATTCATTGTTTTCATAAAATGAATTATTCAGCATCCAATAATCTTAGTACTCTTTCATTGCTTATGAAAATTACAATTAGATTAATACCTCAAGCAAACTAATGTCTCATATTACAGATTCCCTTGTGTTATGAAGAATCAGCAAATAGTTTCTGCTCAGAAATCACAGAATTACAAACTTAGCTAAAAACTTAGTGGGGCCTGTTTGTTATTTATTTAAAACTTTTGATTATGTATTCTAAAGATAATTATGTGATACACAGGAAAGGAACCAAGGAATAAAAAACATGAGTGTCTACTGATGGGCTGGTGACAGGGATTTTTTATTGAGAAATTAATTGTTACTGGGGAAATGTCATTAAGAAGCACAAACCGGCTCCCCTGTGTTATCAGAGCAGCAAGTCAGCTCCTATAGATAGAAAATGACATTCTAGTGTCAAATACATCCGCAAATCTTCATGCATCCCCATGACTTCAAAAGAGGTGTGCATTGTTCTAACAATATCATACAGGACAGAAGACCGTCTGATATACTTTACCAGGAAGAGGAGGAAGACAGAAGGAAGAAACAGACTAAATATGTATGTATATACCTACTTTTCTGTCAAGTAACTCTTCCAGCCATATGAAACTTCAAAGAGCTGTTGCAGATATTGTATTAATCAGGGTTTCACACAGTAGGCCTCCAGTTAACCATCTAAGTTTCCTCAGTAATACAAAAGTTATCTCCCAAGTTATCAAATGTGGGATTGAGATGGTGAAATTGAATGCATTTATTTGAAAAATAAATTAAAATCTAACTTACACACTGTTTAGATTTCACATTATTCCTCCAAATTGACAATGAAGCGATTATGCTGATTGCATTTATACCATGAATGGCAACCTGCAGGCCCTTACAAGTCCAATTTCTTTAAAACATCTGACATACAAATCTACAATGACGGCTGAACCCACACAAAGGTCCTGCAAGTGAATTTGTGATTTGACTACCTAAACACATCTGAAAAATTGGAAGGAACACTGCAATTTGCACTTGAACTGAATTTTCAGAACAATAATGAGGAGCTAATTCCTTAGTTGGGTTGCTTATGCCTACATCACAGAAGTTCGCTATTTAGTAGGGTGGGTGTTTATTCAAGCACAGACAATATCATTAGGAATGGAAATAATCATTATTCCAGGAGCACTTTGGGGAAGGTCAAGGAGATTGGACAGATTCATTATTTGTGGGAATACCTAGAAATCTATAACATTCTGAACTACCTGTGGAAAGTTGCCTAAAAGATGATGCTCTTGGTATATAATATGAAGTATGGGTTGCAAATTCTATTTAAAACAGTGAAAGAAGATTCACAAAGAAAAATAAGGACATTTCATGACAATTAGAACCAATTTGGTTGGTATTGTGAGGCAGAATATATGACCATCAAGTGATCCAGGTCTCTCTTTTCCTACATTGTACACACTATTGATGAACCCAGTATTCTGACAGCCCAGAGTTAAGGGAACTGGATGAGGCAGATAATAGAGATGACAACTGTCCCTATCTTTCCGACAATAGGAAAACAGGATTTTTTAATATATCAGATGACAGCCTGAGAATACTTACTGTACCAGTTTCTCAAAGAATAAGAAATTGTTGATGGTATGTGAATGACATTAGAGGGTCAGAGATATGACATAATTGTGATTTATTTATAGAGAAAAATAATATGAATTATTTTAAATTTGAACAAATGGAAAAACTTTATTTGAATATTTTTGTTTGTAACACATTGTTACTTACTTTTTAGAAAAGATAATGAAAGGCTCAAGCTGTAAGCCTTCAGAAATCCAGTAGCATATAAGAGATACTTGTGGAACACTGTGGCATTATACTTAGTTTAGGTTTTCCTTTCTGTAGTTGTGGTTTCATTATATAATAGTGAAATCCCATGTGAACGCAGATAAAGACAGAGTCAGTCGTTGTATGAAAAGCACATAGTTTGAGCATATGATAAAATTTACTGATTAAATAAATAATTGGAGCACAAAATTTTGAGATGATTTCCACCACAAGGTGACCTAATATTTTAATAGTTAAAATTATATGTCCATCACAACAGTCATCTGAATTAGATTCTTCTTTAGTAACGTGCTGGAGATAAACCGGTTTTAACTGGCACTAATATTTGCCTTTGTTGAAACGCCAGTGAAGGTTATGACGCAGAGACGGATAGCCTGAACAAGACTCTCTTCAACAGTGTTAGAAACTACAAGACTCAGTGAATGCAGCCCCACTCCCCCAAGTGGAGGGCTCCGGAGTACCCATGTCCACATTCTTGGGCAGCAGAGGGTGTGCCAGTTCTGAAGGCAGAATGCCACAGAGGCTCTTTGTATGCGCATACAAAGAGGGAAATGCTTAGTTAGAATTATAATATTCCCATCTGATGGCAGGAGTCCATGTGCAATATGGAAACTTACACTGTTGCTGTTTGCCTGGCATGGGGGTGGGGGAAGCGGTTGTGATGGAATCATAAATCTCTGTGGTGAAACTAGCAGAATAACCATAAACACTTCCTTGAATCGATGTCTTTATAACCCTAATGAAATTTATATCTATGTTTCATGTCAAATATTCCATACTTCCAGTGTAAATGTTCTTACAGAGGAAGTTGATGTAACCTCTGAAGCTATAAGGAAAATAAAACAAAAGCAGTGAACTATGTGGGTTTATGTTTCCCTGGTTTTTTTGGGGGGGTGCTCCGATGATACTTTACAGATGCTTGCCCCTGCAGGCTACAGGACTGGATTTTATAAAACTCCTTTGCTTCTAGTATCTCAGATTTGAGAATACTACTGTGTTGTAGGCGATAGTCACTCAATTGATTGGAACGTGTCTTTTTTACAAGAAACTGAAACTACTAACTTCAAATTGCAAATGGCTATGTATATGATCCATATGTGTGGCAGAATTAAATAAAGAATTGAGCCATCTGGCTTTCCTTCTACTGGTTTCTTACACGAAATAACTGCCATAATTGGACATTATGATTTGTACTAACATAAAGACTTAAGTGGAGGAAAAGGGCAGGGAATGCAGAAATTACTTGAAATTTTAACATTTAAAATTGGGGCTTCAAGTGGAGCTCAGAGTTAGGGCCTGTGCCTAATGTGTGGAACTCTGGATTCAAACCCCGGTACAGCAAAACCACCCCCAAACTGATTGGTGACCTGACTGATATCACATCCTAACCAGTGTTCTTCAGGAAGTGAAAGTGATAAAATGTGCAAATTGTTACCATGGCCACTGATATAGATTGCATAAATGTTTAAACACAAAGTTGACTTCCACAAAAAACTAATGCCAAGAATCAGGTTTCTGACACAGCGTGTCATCCTCTAAAAATCCCGTTTCCCCAGGTGGTACTCTAAGTACTGTCCAGCCTGCTGCCTGGATTGCACAGAGAAATCCTATTTCTCAAACAAACAGAAACGTTTCTCAGTTGTTGTAGTTTGACAAAACACCATTAAAAGGAAAGCACTTCTTTCCCTTCTCGGATGTATCATAATGGAAATTAATTCTTTTCAATTAATTACTTTTTCTTAAACCTTTCTTTGAAAAAAATAACTCAAAGTGGTGAAAAGAAGTGCTCAGAGTTATTGGTTCAACTGGGACTCAAGACACAATGATATTTGTTTTACTGGTCTTAAAATGTGCTAATGAACCAAGTGTTGTCAATCATAGAACTTTGCTGGCACAGTCTGTATTTCCACTCTCAGAATACTATTTCACATACTCTAGACATACTAAACATAGGATCTTACCAAACGAATCTTACCATTCTTTTGTTTACGGACTCTGTTAGTAACAGGGATATTAGTGGTGACAGTGGGTGGTGTAGTACTAGGAGGGCTTACAGTAGCTGGTAATAAAGACGAGAAAGATGCAATTTTACAAGGGCATAAAACAGTTAATACAGATAAGCAATCTACAGCTAATATATGAAAGTGCATAACAGAGTTGCAACTATTTCATGCTGCTAATACAATAGACTAAAGCTTACAATGCATAAAACAAAGTAAAGCTTTCTATGGTACATTAAGAATCAGTTTGCATGGCTTTGGTACTACGTTACACAAGGGTTTAGAGATGGCACGGAGCAACTGGAGAAAACACAGTTGGGTTCTACACCACATCTGCTATCAACAGGCTGGTAATCACATGGGAAATTACTAACTCTTTCCAGAAACTAGTTCCCAGAGACTCTTTAAAGAAAGCTAAAAGTGGGCAATCTGCATAGATTTACACTTTAGAAGTTGCCCAAACTAAGTCAGTCTGGACTGATACGCAGAGACTAGAGAAATAAAATAGCAAAAATAACATGTATCTCTCCTTGAAAAGATAAATGAGAAGGAAAAACAAGGGAATGGTGTGCGTGGACTCAGTCAATCATTTAGAAGCCCCAGAAGCTTCACAAACACTGCTGGGTGAGAAGTATTCCATAAGGTCAATCCTTAAACGAAGCTACTCTCTAAGTCGTATGTCTGAGCTGTTTGTCTGACTTTATAATGCATAAACAAGAAACCCTCCTGCAGTGTTTCAACAGCTTCTTTCCTGGAGATTGTACACCTCTGTAGGAAGAAAATTAAGCAAGCACATATGGGTCCTTCAGTTTATCTTATGGGTGCATTTTTGTTAGAGCACAGTCATGTGTACAATGATTATCTGTTATATCTTTTTAATTAAATATTACTTAAGCATAAAAGAATAAAGGGCTGATCCAGAAGACTGCCTTCCCAAGGCACCAGAGAAAATGCTGAACTTCTTGATGTACTGACAATGGTTTTCCATTCTAGAATAATATGAAAACTTAACAATGGAAATAAATTTTTAAGTTGTGAACAACTGTGTTCATCTTAATGCGAATGCATCATGAGATTGTCTTTGTTCCTTAAGGACAAAACAGGGACTAAATGAAGAGAAAGCTGAGCTTCTCCTTTGGTCCACAGAATGAGTACTTTAGATAATGATATTAAAATGATAAAAATTAATGAATGTGTAAAACTTTTGGACAAAGGTCTTCTGTTATATTTTTATACATCTATTTCATAACTGCATGGAGTTCATGAAAAAACAAACAATGTAATTTTCATAGGAAATTGATTAGTAATAATATTCATGTTATCTTCGAAGGGAAATCCAAGAATAGTCAGTTTCCTCCTGGCCCTGTCTGGCTGACTCTCAGACTCCTAAGAGCCTAAATTGTACTTGCTTGTTCTTACTTCTAATCTGTCACTTTTGTGCCATGATTCCCTTAACAAAGCCACCTTCTATGCAAAGGCATGCCCTTGATTCTCATGTGGAGCATAGAAGATGCTACTTTTTATAGGGGGATTTAGCATGGCAATGGATGAAAACCGGTCACAAAAATTTAGGAGTAAGGATAAATTTAGGAAACACATTCATATTATTATTTTTGCTACATTTTGCATACATACATAACTATATTATTAACATGCAACTACTTAGTACATAAAACAATTTTATCTACAATGTAATCATTAAGCACCAAAATAATTAACATAGTAATATTAATATTTGTTTACTTCAACTATTTTCAAGACTCAAGTTATATGACATAATATAAATTGTCTCATGACTTCATCTTCAAATCTTATCTAAATATTCAACATAAGCTTTCCCCTCAATTTACAGATATGAGCACTTCTTCAAAATACTGAGCAACTGTATATCCAAGACACTTGCACTAATCTTGTGCAGAAATGTTGGGAGAGATGAAACCCATCCTTTTAAGAAGCATATAACCGTTCACATTTAGGAAACCCCATGGTTTATGGAAATATGGCCAGTGTGGCTGATCTGTCCTGACAGCACATTATTTGGGTACTGTGCATCCACATCGCTAAAACACACCCAGACATTCTGTTTTCCTGTTTCTGTGTTTCCAGGTGAAAGTTAAAAAAAAAGCAGCAACAACTAAATCATCCCAAACAGCAAGCCTAGGAACATAAAAGGTCTCGGGAAGACGAATTCTGCTCCCTACCTTGACAGAGAGACCCCAGATCTGAACAGTTCGTCAGCTCAGCTGCCGGGAGCGGGATCAGGTAGGAACCTAGGTCAACACAGAAGCATATGCAAATTTAACTTGTGATTTGCTGATGTTATCCAAAAAGTCAATATTATGAACCATGTAATTGGTAAGGTAGAAACAATGTTCTGAGAGTTGACTGACAGTGCTACAACACGAAATGTCTTGTGAGGTTACCTTAGTTTCCTCAAACACAAAACTGAAGAACTAACACCACCTTCCATATCTTCAGCCCTGGTTTTCAACCATTCACACATGAAAGGAGAGTGATTGTTCCTTTAAGTTGGTATAAAAAAAACACTTGGGGCCTTTTTGAATAATTAACTATGAGACTCAGGTAGCAATTCATGTAAAAAAAATATTCAGGGTACATTTCAACACAGAACTTGGATATTATGAATTACACACAAAATGCAGATTTTTTTTGTTCATGTCTGTACTCTGCAATTCCAGAAAAATCTTTCTGTGATTTCAAGTCAGCCCTGTTTCGTTCAACTTCAAGCTGTCACTGATTCCCCAGCAGGACACAGACACTGAGCTGATTTCTTTCAAGCAGAACTATCAGGTGCTCTCTGTTGTTCTGAATCTTCCTGTACTAATTATGGGCTAAACTTATTGCATATAATAGGGCATTTGAACAAAGATATAATTAATATACATTATACATACATCATACATGCTATTTATCTAATTTTGAAAGACATTGGTGTAGTGGTGTACTCATGCTAATGTTTACACATTTGTCCAAGTTTCCCATGGGAACAATATGTGAAGGCGGAGCGGGTACATGAGCTCACAAATTATGTCTAATTAGGTAAGTGACAGACACAAGCAGAAAACATCTCAACAGTTTAGTGGCACCTAGGGATGTATATGGTTTCCTCCTTCTTAGATGTCTCAAGCTCTTGGCTCACGGAAAGAATTCAGGTACATTAGACCTTCAGGAAGGTCTGTGGTGTGACATTTGTTGGCAAAACAAAACAAAAACCTACTTCAGGGATTCCGGCAACAAATACAGACACTTTACCTACAGTTTATGAGATGTGGGGGACGGAAAGTTTTCTGCTGCCGTGTCTACTTTCAGAGAGGCCAGTGAAAGCTAGCTTCACTAACATATGTCCAAGAGCCTAGTGAAGAGTTTTGACAGTGGTGGTGGCCAACAGGAAGCTGTGTCATTAGCTTGGTGACAAGAAATATGACACATAGGCACTGAGGTTGCAAGAGCTCTGAGGCAACAAGACAGGATTTCTGAAACATGTGCCTATGCAGTATTGAAAAGTCTGGGACCAAACAGAGTTGACACCAGAGTATTAGAGTAATCACAGAAAAGTATGGGGATGATCCGGTAAACATCAGTGCGGCCTGCAGAAGGCCTTCTAGAATACAAACAGTGGGGACAATGAGCCTCCGAGACCTTCTCCTGATGCTGAATCCCATACCCAGAGGTTGCATGCTCAAGCTTCGCTAAGGAAACTATGAATGAACTAACCACATTATGAATGACAGCTAAATGTAGTCAAAGCTCTTTTCTAAGCAATTGGAATAAATGAAAGGGCACTTGGTAAAACTATAGGCTACAGTTTGAAAATAACAACTTTTGGTGTGGGGAGACGCAAGAAGTTCAAATAACATTAATCATTCAGGTTTGACATCCCGAGTCTCAAGAAGACAGACTCAATGAGATGGGCACAAGGAACATGAAGACAGAAGACAAATTGTGAAAGAAGACTAATTGGAAAGAGGAAGAGAAAGGGAAGAATTGAATTCCAACTTGAGAAACTGGGCATGAGGACATCATAAATGGAGAAAGGAAACAGAAAGAGCATAGATTTATCTTCTGTTATGTGTGGCAAGGGAAGCCATTTGCCTGTAGGACATCTATCATTCACAGGTGAGAATCTGTCTTTCTGTACAGGGACTAGTCAACAAAAGGTACCAGTGAGTTTGAGTTCACCGGAGTATGGGTTCAAGAAGAGAACGAATTGAACTTCAGCTATTGCTACATTTAAGTTTCCAATGCGGAGATTTGGGGAGAGAAAAGCAGCTCTCAGTCAAGGTTTCATGGAGTTTAAGCAAGGAACGTTGAATGGAGGGTGTGGCAACAATGAGGGGAACTGGAAGGTTGAAGTGATAAAGACTGAAAAGACCTTTAACTCCACTGCACAGGAATTGGTGTCCGTCTCGTGGGAACAATGAAAGTCAGACTGCAGAGTTTTGGAGAGCGAACGCAACAGGAGGAAGCCTGGTTGTGCAAGGAAACAGAGATAGGGAGGGGCGGTTTTGAAGACTGAAAATCTAAGCAAGCATGTACCCTGGGAAAGGCATGTGATGTGGCAAAGTTGAGCGAGGGAGGCGACAGAGGGAGAACTTATCTTGAGAGCTTTCTGCCCCTTGAGCATGTCCACTTTTTCCAGAACCTCACTTCTATAGGCGTCTACGTTTTTAGAAAGGACTTCTGAAAACTAACAAGCCTTTCCAACGCGTGTGACTGGAGAAACCTCAGCTATTGTAACACAGCACAGTGGAGACTTGGTTGAGGTTCCCCTAGGTCTCAGATTACACACAATGCTGGCAGTCCAGGGCTCCTTGAAGGCTTCAGAAAGTGATATGGTATCTCTCCAAGACAAAGAGAGATAAGGGACAGTGTTGTGGGAAAGAAGTTCTTAGGCTAACTCCATTTCCACTCCAGTATATCTAGGAACTCAGAGGTGGGAATATGGAGAGATGTCAGAGGAGCCATGATTTAGAACAAGCACTTGACCATTTTATCAGATTCATTTCAATCTGTGGCTTCCTCTCAGGGGAGATTGTAAACATTTGCTTCTGAATATTTTCATTAGTTGTTCTTTCTAGGGGAAGGTCAAGTTTATCACATTGCTGGTGTTGTATAAATACTGAATAGATACCATCGTATTATGATCTCACGGAGCAATAGAAATTACATCTGAATATTTTTAGTGCACATGGGATAAAAACAAGTGACATTTTTAATTAGAAGAAAATCACACTGGCAAAGGAAATCTCATATTACAAATACCTGGTACGATGTAAGCAAATACACGAAATACAAAAAAGTATTTCTGGCTATGGGGAAATGCCATTGTAGGTTTACCTACTCAGGAAGTTGAGGCAGGAGGACGACTTCAGTGCAGGAATTCAAGGCTAGTGTGGTGAACATCTCAAGAGACCACCTCAAATAAAAAGTAGGTGCCCTAAACATACACAAAATTTTCATTTCTAATTCATTTGAGTTTTCATTACCTAGTATTCTAGGCTTACAGATTTACCAACTGGAGACTGGAAAAAGAGGCAAACTGGTCTTTCGGGACAGAGACCTATCAATCATCAAGGATGCTTGTGTGATCTCTGTGTGTTGTCTGGCTTTCGAGTCTACTAAAGGTATTTAAAGCTTATTATCTAACAGCAAAATTTGGAGTCACATTTTATTCATTTTTTAAAAATATCATGAAAATGATTCGTTAGGGCTGGGCATACAGCTCAGTCGGTAGAGTGCCAGACAAGAACCCATGATGCCTTGCAGTTCAGTTCCACTGCATGAAACTGGTACAGCAGAGCGCATCCTGGCACTTGGGTGATGGAGACAGGAGGATTACATCGAGCTTATCCTGGATAGATAGGGACTTTCAGCACAGCATCAGTTAGGGATCTTGTCTCAAAAAAGAAAAAAGGGCAATTGAAAAACAACAACAAAAAAAAAACATCTTCAAAGGCTGTGGCCTCCTCTTTCCACTGCTCCTCTCCCAGCAGGCTACTAAAAGGAATCACTCCATTTATACAAGTTATGCTAGAACTCATTGATGTGCACACAGCAGCATATCTCTCATCCTAATTAATAGTTTTACTAATAGTACAGTAAGTTGAAAAATTCAGAAAAAATACAATCCTCTCCAGGTGTCTCATTTGTTACTAAGATGAATTTCCTAATTTTTCATAGGTAAATGGATTATAAAATTATTTTATGATTTTTCTTTCATATTTTCCCCTTTTGTGCTGTATTGTGTGTGTATGTTCATGTATATAACCATGTGCACATGAGTTTGAAGTTGATGCCAGGTAGCTTCCTTGATCGCTTTCCATCTTATCTTTTAATGTGGACTCCCTCATTCAACCTGGAATTCTCTGATTTCACTACACTACTTAGTTAGTGTGCCCCAGAGACTCCTGTCCCAGCTTCTTCACTGCTGGGATTACAGGCTTTTTAGGTGGGTGCCAGAATCCAAACTCAGGTCCTTTGTGCTTTTTAGTTGTATTTTATGATGCTTCTATTATTATTTTGTATGTGCAATTATTTCTGAAGATCACTTATGCCCATAATGAGTTTGAGCACCCCCAAAGAAAAATGTGATGTCATGATAAAGCAATTATATTTCAGTTAAAAATGACCTACTAATCTAATAATGGTGAGTTCAGTAATTGACTGTGCATGGAACTAAGAACCAGTAATTGAACGTCAGACCTGTGAAAGTCAAGACTGTAATATATTATATAGTTATTTATAAAAGGGAATGGGAATTAGAGAGAAATGGGGCCTTAGTGATGAGAAGCAAAATTTTAGAGGTGAGAACGAAAACCCACAAACCTCTAGAAAAGAATAACAATAAAGTTGAGTACTTACAACTTGTGTCTTATCTCTACATCCACAATGGCTAAGAGATGGGAGTGCTTAAGAAATTCTGGATAAATAATGTAACTTGCCTGAACTTTGACCGTTTTTTATACTGTACCACTCCTCAGGAAAGAGCAGCAATCAGTTAAATAAATAAAACCAGAGAAAAAGTACTGTCTGTTCTTTGTGAAAATGGGTGGGCATTAGCCAATGTCTAAGCCATAATCGCAACACAGGCAAATACTTATACCCATAATTACAGGGTCGGAGAAGGAAATGACCTGTTCCTGAAGGTCATAAAACTGGATATGGTTGAAAATTGTTCTAGGAAAAATAAAGATGCTATAACTTAAAAAAAAAAAACATTGATGCTATGACATTTGTATCAGTAAAGAACTGACAAGATTGACTGTGATTTTTAAAAAAGACAAACCAGTCAAAAAAGTCTCCATGTACTTAGAAAAAAACTAGGAAAACAAAGCAGTGTGATTATAAAATTATTGAAGCATTTACTGATGACATTGGTTTTATAGTTAACGCATGAGATAAGTGACAGCATACTTAAATATTAAATGTAATCTGTCCTGTCTTACCTCCTTACTTTCCCTTTATATAACTTATCCAGTAACACACAGATGGAAAACATATTCATTTTCTACCACAAGTGGATACTAGAATAGTCAATACTTGGCAGACATGCCAGTCTACTGGAATGCAAGGAATGAGACTGCACTTTCCCATTGGTTACTGTATTCATTGTGAGCATGTGGAATTATGATGACTATAAACAGCAAACCACAATATTTTCTGGAGGGAGGGGGGAGGTTAAAATGTTAATAGGGCACACTTTATTTGTCTTGATTATTGAAGTTTTGCTCAATAAACACGGCCAAGACACAATCTTTGTACAGGTATTTCCTGTCCATTCATAAGTGACTTGGATTCTTCAGCCCTAGGCTGATGATTAAGCAGCAGGAAATTCCATCTCCCACCAATCCAACTGACAGGCACAGCAAGACATCTGGGGGCACGCAGTCGTGGGAGGGAGAGGGAAGGCATAGTCACCCTGAATGTCAAGATGACTGCCATAAAGTTACTGAGATTCAAATGCATTGAGTCCATAAGACTTCACTGCTCCTAGGAAGAAATCATTTTGCAGACATATGAGCATGCATTTGATACATCCCGGTAATCTTTAGGCTTTAAGATGAGAACCTCAGAGGTGGTTACTGTTTAAAAACATAGAAGGAATGCATGACCTCACTTATGTGTGGAATCCCAGGGAGTTGAAATCATAGAAATAGAGTAGAACGATGATTCACAGGGGCTGAAAGGCACAAGGCGGGTCACCTGTCCTTTACCAGCCAAAGGAGTGATGACAAGCTCGAGTAATCACTTTAGAGATGTACTATACTGCACAAGGGTTGTAGGCGAAAGTGACATAGTGTGTGCTTAAAGTTGCTGAGAGGGCGCTGACAGTGTAACCAGTCTCTTGTGTTCCTTTCTCTGGATACAAAACACTAAAAGCGAATCGTTGAAGGCTTAAAATTTTCTCATTATAGATAAATGACTAAGTATGATGTAGTAAAATGAAGTAGCCACTTCACAATATAGCAAAATGCCATGCAACATAAATACATATGGTTTTGTCAATTAAAATAGTTTCAATTAATTATTTTTTTAAATGGTGAGGTTTCTAGGCATGAATGAATGATGTGTGTGTTGATAAATCAACCTCCTCAGCAGCTGATGTGTCCTATGCTTCACTTTCCTCCATATTTGTAAGGAGTGGTCTAAATAGAGATCTTCACACTTAAATGCCAGCTAAGGGTGGGAAGACAGGCCTGAAGAGGAAGAAGCAAACCAGAGAGGGAGGACAGAAGTGTGATGATGCCTGAGGTGAACTCTAAGCCTCTTCAACAGAAATAGCCACAATGTAGCTCCAACACTGTTATCCATGCAGAAATATTGGCCAGGTATTGGAGTTTGCCAAAGAACTGAATCATTCATTTTATGTGAAATCTAATCTTTCAGTGTTGGTAATAAAGTCACAATTGAAACGTATAGTGTGTAATTAATGTAGGTAAAGAACACATATAAATCTGGAGGCTGACACCTGCCACGTCTAAGGACGCATAGGGGCTTTCTTCTGGAGTGCCTTTCCTACTGTTGTTCAAAGTGTAAGTTTCAACAACTCTTAGGATTCTTTGGGCTAGTTTTGGGGCTCAACAAACTTACTCATGAAGATCAACAGTAAATATTTCAGGATGCTGGGACTTAGAAGAATTGGCAACAAATATTTTAAGATAATGGGCCATACTTGTCAGTATCAGACATTTGGCCCTGTTAGCACAATCACAGTGACTTATAGTACATAAATCTGTGAGTATATTGGGTGTCAGTGAGGAGGCCTAGGGAACCTATTGAGCCTTGGGCAGCAGATCAGTACCCATCCCAAGTATACACACGGACTTTGGACTCCCATAGAACAATGTGAGGTGCACTCTCACCCTGAACTCTTGGGGAAGGGTCTAGGCCCTGCCCTATATGAAATGACAGACTATGGACACCCCCATGGAGGGCCTCACCCTCCCTGGGGGAATGAGGGGATAACGGGGGGGGAGGTTAGGGGGAGGGCACGGGAGGAGGGGAGGGAATGGGAGAGGGACCTGGAACTGACTTGTGAAGCAACCTCGTTTCTTATCTAAATTTAAACTGGAAAAAAAAAGAAAGTTATTTGAATGCATGTTAAAAAAATCTGTGAGTATAACTGTGTTCCTATAAAACTTTATAAATCGAGTTGTCTCCCTTGAGCCCTCCCACCTTGCCAAACTTTGGTATAAAGGATTTTTTCCAATATCACATAAAAATTCTTTCGAAGCCGGATGTCGGTGGCGCATGCAGATCTCTGTGAGTTCGAGGCCAGTCTGGTCTACAAAGCGAGTTCCAGGACAGCCTCCAAAACAATACAGAGAAACCTTGTCTCGTAAAAACAAAAAAAAAATAATTCTTTTGAATAGTAAGTCTCTGTCTTTAACTAAAAGATATGTTACCAACACCTGAGAATTCATGATATGACATTTTAAATTGATAGCAGCACGATTTTTATAGGTGTTTAAATCAGTCCTATAATAAAACATGACTTCTAGGATTAACTTGTATGATATAAAGAATACTGAATAGGATTCTATTTCAATATACTCTTTGTTACATACAATCATTTTCCAAAAAGCTCCCATTCAGCTATTACCAATAATGTCAAAGTTGAAGCTTCCTAAAGAACAACCTAGAAGGAAAGAGTATTGGACATGAGCCACAGATGTTTGCTGTCAAACAAATGGAGATGAAAGTTGAAAGAAAATATAATGAACAGGTGGATATTTGACTCTGGCTGAATAAACACTGTCCTACATAGTGACTGTTTATCTAGGTAATGCAATTGAAATTCTGTTTCAGAATGAAAAAGATCAGTATAATAGGGCAACATTTTGGTGAGTAAAAATCACAACTTGTTAATTTCTTGTAATTCAAATCAAATTCAGAGTCACCTGTGGGCCAACCATTATGACTGTTTTGTTAATGATGAACTGTGATATTTTGTGAATACTTAAGAATGGCTGGCAAGCCCACATTCACTAAGTAAACATGGCTCATCATCAAATGTATCCTGTCAATGGCTAAACTGGTAACAGTTTTAAAGCTAAAAAAGTGATGATACTACATATGGGTATTTATACATAATTTCTCAATGATGAATATTTTCACTGAACGGTGCTAAAGACATGAGGCATATGAAACCCGTGTCACAAACTTACCACAGCTCAGATTGTTCTCAGCTTTAAGAGCCTGGGTTGGGATGCTCCAGAAGTCATTGTGCCAGTCCACAACATTCCCGGGCACACTACAGCTGAGGTTGGCAAGGACTCTTGGTTCCATTGTAAAATTCCAAAGTCGAAAGTTATAGATGCTGCCTTTTAGAGAGGCAATTTCATCTCTGTTGGAGCCCAACAACAATGTCCCATCCCCAGGTATGACCGTACTCACGGCGGAACTACATGGAACCGTTTCAAAGTTCTTTTTGAAATTTACGCCAATAGAGCCCAAAGCATTATTCCACACAAGACAGAGCTGTGCAAAGTTTTCTGTGAAGATGTCTTCATTTTCCTTCACAGGAAATGCACTGTTCAGCAAGCATCTTGAGCCAGAAATCGACAGGAAGTAGCCATCGTTGGCCTTTTCGAAACTGAGCAGCTGTTTGAGGGACTTATCGGAGTAAGAGAAAGCTATCCAGTCGTCATCTTCATTCCCAACTTTGGAGACTTCAAAGCACAGTGTGAAAGCACTGAGCGCAGCAATGGAGACACTTTTAGAAACTGATACCTGGTAAGCATCAAATGTCTGGGGCAAAATGACCTTTTGATTCCGTAAGGACACGGCAACTAGGAAAAAACATAAAGTCAGCATAATTACAGACTGTGAGCTGAGATGCGAAATGTCTACTGTCTCCCAGTTCTCTACCACTGTCTTCTAATAAACTTCACTTACCCTGTGAGCCTTTGCTATCCCCCTGCCTGCCTCTCCTCTATCGCCAATCTTTTACCAATAGTACTGCAAGAAAAATAACAATAAGCAATCCCACCCTGTTCACCTTTAATTATGATTTCACTCACAAGGAAATGAGTGACAGCCCTGTTGGCATTTTATTCATCTCTGCACAAAAATATTAAAAATTAAAAAATAAAACTCCTGAATAAGGAAAGACCTAGCTTCAGGATGATTCTGTTTGCACATTATGGATTTTTTAAGTCCACTATTTTATTTATTTATTTATTTATTTATTTATTTATTTATTTATTTATTTATTGGTTTTTACAAGACAAGGTTTCTCTGTATTGTTTTCGAGGCTGTCGGTCCAGCCCAGCCTCGAACTCACAGAGATCCGCCTGCCTCTGCCTCCCGAGTGCTGGGATTAAAGGCGTGAGCCACCACTGGCCAGCTAAGTACACTATTTAAAAAATAAATACTTTCTGAGCACAAACTAGCTCTCGTTGCACTAACAGTTACCTTTCACCCTCTCAAACATTTGCAGACAAATCCCATGCCTTCAGGATTTCTGTGCCCCATTCCCTTACATACTAATTTTCTGCTTGACCTCTAATAAATTTATTTTAAGGGAAGTGCCTTGTATGTCCAAGTAGAATAATTTCTAAATGGTGGTATTTAAAACTTCTAGTGGGGAGATGTTAGGGTTACAGATTTTCTTTATTACTAGTAGGCTCCTTTTTTAAATTTTATTTTTATTTTTTGCCGAGCTGGGCATGTACCATACTTAGAAGGCAAAAACAAGCATGTCTCTGTGAGTTTGAAGCCAGCCTGGTCTACTTAGCAAGTTTCAGGCTAGCCATGGCTATAAAGTTAGACCTTGACTATTTAAAAAAATGAAAATAAAAAAATGTTCTGTAGACAGACAATCTAGAATTCAGTTCTTCTGAATTGCTAAGGAGGAGAGTTTGGATCTAGTCGTTCTAGCTTGCTAAGGAGGAGAGTTTGGATCTAGTCGTTCTAGCTTGCTAAGGAGGAGAGTTTGGATCTAGTCGTTCTAGCTTGCTAAGGAGGCGTCTCAGAGACTACTAGTTCTCACCCTTAAATCCTGACCCTGACAATTCCCATTCACATAGCAGAGCATAGTTCTGTCCTCCAGCCCTGGCGTTTAAAGTACATGCTGAGAGGAAGCAGAAGACTGGCACCGTCTGTGGTTTACATACCTCGGATGTAGCTGGCGTTGAAACCTTTCTTCTGGATACTAAAGTCACTCGAAAAAGACACGTGCATCTCATTCACAGTTGAGTTAAATGACAGGCCTTTGGCAGTGGCTCCACAAAATTTTGTCTGGCTCTCTCCATTATCAAGGGATACTGAGTCATAGATGCAATTGGGAGCTTCTTCAATGTCAAAGTCATTAAATGTTATTTGGATGATGTAGCCGGTAGGGGCTCGGAGGGTCCATGAGCAAGACTGGGTGTTAGGGTAGTCATTAGGGTAGCATGGAGAAGTAAAAGTTCCAGAAGGACTGGATAGGATAGTCCTGCAGTTGTCACATCCCCACACTGTTGATTGGAAAAGACAGAGAGATGGATGGAATCAGATAATGTACAATAAAACAAGGATACCGTTCACAGAAGACAATCAAACAGTAAACATTTTTTTAAAAAATCACTGGAAACTAAGAGGAAATGAAAGCATCTCAGGGAGAAAACGAAATGCGAAGAGCATTCCAAAAAGTACAGACGAATACACAATTTTAGAGAGCAAAATTTGAGATTCTGAGAACCCAGAGAAGGGTAGAGGAACTCTGTCATGCAAGATGCATAGGGGTCCTGCAGGTGCCATACATGGCAGATGATTTAAAAGAGCATATAAAGACTAAGGAGCCTTCAGGAGATCTCACTAAAGGTCACTGAGAATGCTAAAAATCTCTGCTTCAGAGAGACACTTCTTGGGAGAAAGGTTATAAAGCCACACATATGGAGTTCGATATTATAAACCATGGATATATACAAAGAGAAACTCTTGGGAAATAAATGTTGAAATACAAAGCAGAACAAAAAGCACATAAAAATTTGGACAGGTTATGTTAGTAGTTTTTTTCAAATGCAAATAACATCACTATTCCTTTTGTTTAGCATGGCTGGTGGTTATCACCTATGTGATCATGTCACTTACTCATACATTCAGCAAATATTTATTGTCTATTATATTATATCAAGACAGTCTTTATATGAAATATTAATACTTCAGGCTTAGATCTAAACAATATTGACAAATGGTGTGATAATTTCAGTTTTCAGCTTGACACGAGATAGAATCACTTGGGAAGACATTCCTAGTGCAGGACTGTCTAATCAGGAAAGTCTGTGGGGTTGCCTAGGGGATTGTCTTATTATGTTAATGGGGTAAAAGACCCATCCATTGTGGGTGACTCCATTCCCTAGACAGGAGACCCTGAACTATCTGCAAACATGGAAGGAGCTGAGGACAAGCATTAATCCATGCCTCTCCACTTCTTCACTATGGATGCAATGTGATCAGTTGTCTCAAGCCCTTGCTAATTTGACTTCCCTGCAAGATGGAACTATTAGCTACCATAAACCCAGTCTCCCCCAAGTAGCTTTGGTGAGGGTATTTTATCACAGTGACAGGAAATACAACTAAGGCAACTAGTGACAAAGGCAGGAAGAAGAGTAAAGCAAGGCAAAGATATGATAAATGAAAGATAGTATAGTTCTCCAAAGGGGATGCTTAAACAGAGATCGTACTGAAGTTAGCAAACATGTCATAAGAGCTCAAACAATTCAGTCAAAGGCACAGCACTCTACTGAAGAGAGTTTTTAGTCCCTGACATTGAACTGTCAGTTCCATAGGTCAAAGGCTAGGTCTCCTCTACACACTTCTGTTTTCTCAATGCACCAGGGGAGCTAACAATCAATGTTAATTGAATGTAGTCATGTAAGAGAGTCTTGTTGGATACACAGGGAAATGCTACTGTAGCATTTTTCATAAGAGAATATTGAGGATCTTTTTGGTTATTCTGAACTGTGGTCTGGCTACCAGCTGGAATGAAAAAACAAGGTCTCCTGTGTCCTCATTTACAAGTGCTTCTTTAGAAAATACTCATGCGTTAAAAATAGTTGTAGAAATAAGCATAACAATATTGTGTGCACAACATTCTAGATAAATGGCTAGAAAACCAACACACAAAGTTTCACATAATAATAACTGTGTCGTGTAAATCACTTTCCTACATCTTTTACTAGGTGGAGCGGAATGACTACACAATTGTTTTTCTTGGGAGTGGCAGCTAGCATACACATCATTTATTCTTCTATGATACATTGGCACATTGTCAAAGGCTGAGACACGTTAGCCTGCTGAAGGCCGCTTTTCCCTGACTCTATTTCCTGGGTTTAGCTTGTGTTTTGTGAATTTTTTTGAGCTCTGTTGCCCATCCAGTAGGCCTAATCCTCCTGCTGTTTTTTTCAGAGTCTCTGACATCTTGATCATGGCCAAAGACAGAAGGAGAAAACAAACTATGATTGTCAAGTGTCTGTCCAAACCTTCTCTTATCTCTCGCTCCCCAAAGCATCATGTAGCACTACCCGAGAGAGGTTTTGTTACTTATACTTGTGGTATTATTTGCTCACTGCCTGTCTTCTCCCATAAGTCTATAAACTCAACAAACAAAGGCCGCTTACTGGGCATGTTAGCCAGGGTTCCGGAAATACCCCAGGGTGTTCCTGACACATGAGACATCAGTGGTCAAATTTGTAAGGACATAAAAGAATAGCTTAAATGACCAGAATGTGTCTAAATTAAAGAATGACTACACACAGTGTGTAAACCCAAGTCAAAGGAAATGCAAGCCTGAAAAACGGGTGAAGAATACATGGGCTGTGGCACGTCCCTGGATAGGGTTCGGGGCTCTTTCTTGTAATCAATTCATGCATAGCAGTGACTGAGATGACTGGGCCTCTCAGACAAGTTGAGTTTCTTTCACTGAATCCCAGGCTCAGAAGAGAAAGAAGTCACCCTAGCCTATAATTTATACACAGTAATAGACATCAGAGTTTTTAAAAAGGAAAGCCAAAAAAAAAAAGAGAAAAGAATTTTAAAATGCAAGCAAACAAACAACAACAAATAAACCCACCAAGTCCCATGCTACATGAGCATGTGGACAGGGGCATCATTTATCTAAGATGAGATACAATTCCCTGTATCTAAGACCCACATAATATGCCATACTTCCTGTATCCATTCACCAAGTTCTTCCCTAAAAGATGAATTGAGAGTATGAAGAATTAAAGTTTGACTTGTAAAACTGGCTACATAGCTAGAGCTAGTTTTGAAATTACTTGTGGTGTGTGGTGTGGGAGGGGGGTGTATGCCATGATATGTCTGAAGAGGACAGAGAACAATTTTTAGGAATCCTCTTTCCACTGTGTGATCTAGGGATTGAACTCAGGTTCTCAGGTTTGTAGAACAAGTGCTTTTGTTCACTGAACCACCCTGTTGGCCCTTGACCCAAGTTTGTGCCTCAGTTTTTCCTCCTTTACACCAGGGATGATATAGAATATGTACCACTCATGAGGTTGTTGGGAGAGACACAGGGGTTAATACTGGAGCATCTTGGGACTTGCATAAAGCATATGGTGCTTATGTTTAAGTGTTGAGTATCATTGCTCATTACGACAGCACAAAATCTGTGCATAATTTGCAAGAGTTCAAATAGCACCCACATTGTAGACTCTCTTTAGCCCTCAGTCAGTAGTTGGGAAAAGAGACAAATGATACAGCAGTATAGAGAATTAAAATTACTTTTGAACCATCCTTCCACAAGACCCAACCTCAGTAAACAGACAGCATCTCCAGATTGCGCTATTGCAATGCCATTATCTCAGTGGACAGAATGCCCCAGCAATAGCAATAGCAATATATTTATTAAAGTCACAAATCACTTTACTATAAATGGATTTTGCTACATATTTTCTCATTCAGCATCATAACAACCAGGGAAGTTATTCCCACCTCCATCTTTGGTTGATACAAAAACCACTCACAGAGATTATGTAACATGCTCAGGGTTATAGTGCTAATACACAGCACAATCAAAATTCAAGCCCATTGCTCTGAATATGTATTTTGTTCTGAATATGTATTTTGTGAAAAACATATGGGCACAATGAAAAGATGCAGGGCAAAGTGGAATGTGGAGATAGAAATTATTAATGGCAAAGTCCCAATTAGTAGTGTCATTGCCTAAAATGAATATATTTCAAGAGATTCACTTGAAATGGCCATGGAATAATCAAATGCTAATTGATTCCTATGCTATGAGCTATCCCATTAAGAAATTAACTTGGGGCTAGAGAGAGAGTTCACCGGGGAAAGTGCTTGCTGCGCAACCATGAGGCCATAAGTTCAGATCCACAACATCCATGTAAAATCTGGCTACAGCAGCATATATCTGTAACCTCATATGCTAGTGGCCTAGAGACAGGTAGGTCATGGAGCCACATTGGCCAGTGAGTCCAGCTGAAAGGGAAAGATTCATTTTCGGTGACAGAAGTTATAATTTGGAGAAGACAGGAAAACCCCCAATATCAACTGATGCATGTGTGCACTCGTACGTACATATACATCCACAGGTATGTCACACAAGTGTGCACGCACACACACACACATACATGTATACAAGAAATGAGTTTATTGTCTTATAGAAAAGTCTTTTTAAAAAGCTGGCCACTGAAGCAGTCACTGAGTGGGTCTTTTGTAAAACCATGGCTAACATGTGTCTTTAAAAATCTCCCGAGTAAGTCTCCCACTTACTGTGTTCTCAAAGACATACACAGTAATGTGTTTTACACTCTGGTTAATAAAAGAAAAATGTTTTCAGGTAAGGTAAACAATAACAAACCAAAACACACATTTAGCCCTGTATATGCACCTAAATAAATGCCCTCCACTAACTTGCCTATACCATACAAAAACTTAATCATCTCCAAAAAACCTGTGTGCCCAAACTTTTCTCAAATTGCATTTGAGCAAACACTTATTGGCTAAATAGCCAATATCTTTCAAAAATTTAGTTAAGTTTATTCATTTTATTTTGTGTGTGAATGTTTTGCCTGAATGTACATATGTGCATCATGTGTGTGTTTGGTGCCTGTGGAGAACAGAAGAAGGTATTGGATGCTCTGGAACTGCAGTTACAGATGGCTGTTGAAACTATATGGGTACTGAGAATAAAACCCTGGTCCTCTACAAGAGCATCAATTGCTCATAACCACCTAGCTATCTCCCCATTACCAATGAGTATTATCTTAAAATTTTATTTTTTTAATTTCATAGATTTTTATCCTTACTCTCTATGAAATCCAAAACGCATGTTCTTTAAATATTCACCAGATGGGAACTTTTGATCCCAGTTGTTCAATAAGTCAAGTTAGAAATCATTTGTAGTTGATTTTTAAGATCTCCTTTATCAATACTATGCTAAATTGTAAGCAAAATCCAGGTGTGCTGCACTCCCACTGATAGAGAGTCTGGGAAA